AGAAAGAAAGAAAGAAAGAAAGAAAGAAAGAAAGAAAGAAAGAAAGGCTGACTCACACTTGGGCAGCCAGGAGGCGGGGCGCCCTGATTCAGCGAAACTCAAAGCGGGGCTTCCCGTGATTGGACGGTGACGTTGCCAAAGTCGGCTCTGATTGGGCGACCGGGAGGCAGAAGCAAAACATGACTCGGCAGAATCGCGCTCAGCCTCCTAAAGTGTCTCTCGTGGTTGCGTGTTTATGTGTCCGTCTGCACGGACCTCCGGCTTTTCTTCCCTGCGCCTTTAGGGCAGATCCTGCGAAGTTTCTTCCCCCACCCGCCTGCCACTTTGGAGAGAACCGACACGGGAGTGTGTCCCTACGGCTTGCTAAACCCGGTGGGGTTGGCTAAGAAGGTTGTGTGAATCTTGGTGTATGTGTGTGTGTGTGTGTGTGAGTGAGTGTTTGTGTGTGTGTTGGGTCAGTCCTGTCCCTTTGGGGGTTGTTGAGCCAACGATGGTTAAAGTCGTTACGGGAAGGCAATTCTGGGTGGTTTGTTGAAGCTCTGTATTCAGATCCTGGCTTATTAAGCATAATATGAGGCTTTCTGAAAGTGGGTGATGGGGAATCTTAGAACTTTTGGGGCTGGTTCTTTGGTAGGAAAGAGAACGGGGTTAATTTATTTCTCCAAAGCTCCAATTCGGCAGCACTTTTTCGTGCAGCTATTCATAAAAATAGGATCTCCAATGTCCAGTGAGGGATATGGCAGGAGAAGGAGAAGAAGAAAGAAGAAAGAAGAAAAGACAAGCAAGAAACAGGGGTTGGAATCTCATCCAGGAGAGAATAAACTTGGAACTAAGGAGAAACTTCCTAGCAGTGAGGAAAACCTGTGGAACAGCTTGCCACCAGAAGTTGTGGGTGCTTCATCACTGGAAGAGACTGGATAGTCATTTATATGAAATGGTATAGGGTTTCCTGACTGTGCAGGGGGCTGGACTAGAAGACCTCCACGGTCCCTTCCAGCTTTATTCTGATTCTGACCTTGGTAGGTCTAGTGTTTTTTTTTTTTTTTTTTGGCACAGGGATGGCTGAGACCAAACTTGGTTGTGTTCACACCTAGCCCCAAAAGTTCTAAAAGAGGTTTCTTTGCCTTGAGCCTTTGCTGTTGTGTAAATCAGGGGTGTCTAACCTTGGCAACTTTAAGACCTGTGGACAAACTCCCAGAATTCCCCAGCCAGTCAAGTCCACAGGTCTTAAAAGTTGTTAAGGTTTAAATGATTGCCAGGGGGTGTTTTTTACGGTAAAGGGAAATTCTAGGGCGGGTGTTGGCAACCCGCAGCTCCGGAGCCGCATGTGGCTCTTTGGGCCCTCTACTGCGGCTCCCTGTCCCATCACTGGCTGGCCCCTCCCCTCCTTCGCCTCCCCTCCCTCGCCTGGCCTGAGAAGGTAAGGGCGACAGCAGAGGATGGAGAAGCGGGCGGGGCTGATTCTCCAGTGCCTTACTCTTGCTGGAGCTTCTTCCGGCCCTTGTTGGTGGGAGTGAGTGACACTGAGTTGGCCACGCCCAGCCAGGTTTTGTGGGAAACGGGTCCAAATGTCTCTTTAAGTGTTTACGGTTGCAGAGGCAGGGTTGGGGGTATTCAGCCGGTTCTGACCGGTTCTGGAGAACCGGTAGCGGAAATTTTGAGTAGTTCGGAGAACCAGCCAATCCCACCTCTGACTGGCCCCGCCCCAAACTATTCTCCGCCTCCCGAGTCCCAGCTGATTGGCTGGGCCTTCTTTGGTTGCCCTGCACAGGAGAACGGAGCTGGAAAGCAGGTTAGTGGGGTGGGGAGGGAAGGGGGATTTTGTGGTATATCCTTCCCCTGCCATGCCCACCAAGCCATGCCCACCAAGCTACACCACACCCACAGAACTGGTAGTAACAAAATTTGAATCCCACCACTGTTGCCAGACCCCTGTTCTAGGGTTAATGGGGTATTTGACGTCAGCTGATGCGACTTAACAGTGACTACAGAAATCGCACCTGTCAGCCCTGGGCGTGAATCTGGCTGCTGTGTGTCCTGTGGGAAAACCAAACTCACACGCCACCTCTCCTTCCAGGTAACCCTAATTGTGGGAAGTTGGGGGCTTCTGAAGAAATGGAATTCCCGGACTTAGGACAACATTGCTGGGAACGGAGCTGCCGACGGCTGGGTAAGGACCGCGGCCAGAAGGCGTGAGGGCTTAAAGTCTCCCTTCTTTGTGATTTGGGAAGACCTTTTGCGTTGGGATAAATCCAACTTAACGTGTTTTCTTGGGGGGGGGGTGTTCTTTCTTTTCCTCCGAAGATTTTCTCCCCCTGAAATGCGATGCCTGCCAGGAGCTTTTCTGCAAAGATCACATTATCTACAGCCGACACAAGTGTTCCTCGGCGTATAAGAAGGTGATTCGGGTTGATGGCATTAGGAACCTTGTGAAACTGGGATGGAGAGTATCCGTGCGTAACTAGCTGTGCAAAAACGCTGGTGATGAAACAGCTTTTAAACTGTTCCTTGTTCCTTGCACCGCTGGTTTCTCCTTGAGGGTTAGCCCTGGCATCGTTTCAAGCTGGTAAAGTAGAACTCCTGGTCTCCTGTCTAAGATCACGACATGCTGTGAGAGCATGGCAAAGAAGCAAAATAATAACATGCATGCAGAATGTGGTGATTGACATAAAAATAATATTGAAAAATTGAATAACCAAATCCTGAAGGATTATAAGTTGAATGAGCAAATAATGGAAGATTCTAATTTAACATAAATGTTTGTATTATTATTAGAATTATATAAGCTTGCTAAATGTCATAAATATGATTAATATTCTATTTGTGTTAAACGGTATGACACTTAGAATAGGGTGATTGGCATAAAAACAACATATTGAAATATTGAATAACTAAATAATGAAAGATTATAATTTAATAAAAGTGTGTGTATTATTACCAGAATTACATAAGCTTGTTAAATGAAACAAATACAATTAATACTATTTTATTTGTATCATAATGCATGACACTCAGGTGCCACGCTGTTCATGCATTGATACATTTTTAAAAAATAAAAAACTGGGGGCAACTGGAAGCAAAATAATAAAAAGGGAGGGATTTATGTAGAAATTATTTTTTTTTAATAGTCTTTAGGGTAGTTCTGGAAGATGCACAAGTTCAAGTCTTAAGTTTATTGCATTTAAGGATGTTTTTCTGTTAAGATTTGTGTTCAGGACCTTGTTAGTTGGCAGCATTGCAAGGCCAAATAGTTACACCCTTGGGGTTAGGGTTACACCCAGGAGTATGTTAGGGACAGTTTGAAGTACCGACTTACCTCGACTCGTCTTTGCTGACTTCAACGTGATCATTTTTTGTTTTAGGATGTACAGGTTCCAGTCTGCCCCCTTTGCAATACTCCGGTCCCCGTCAGAAAGGGAGAGACGCCCGATGTAGCTGTGGGGGCCCATATGGACCGAGACTGTCGACAGGATTCGGCCCAGCAGAAGCAGAAAGTAAGGACCTTCTTAAGAAGAAGGGCTCTCCACACTTAGCTGTGCTGGCTGAGGAATTCTGGGAGTTGAAGTCCACAAGTCTTAAAGTTGCCAAGTTTGGAGACTTCTGACTTAGACATTTAACAGTGGTTTATATACAATAGTTATATACAGACATATACATGGTAGGCCTTACAAGTAATACATTACAAGTAAGCAAAGTTCTTAACTCTACACATTTTTATTTATTTATTTATTTATTTGATTTGCCAATTGTTTACAAGATAATAAGTATAAGTGTATACATAGTTGTGAATACATGAAATGGGTACATATAAGAAAAATAAAAGAATAAGAGAAACAATAGGACAGGGACGGTAGGCACGTTGATGCGCTTATGCACGCCCCCTCATGGAGTACTCTGCAATGAATACTCGACACAAGGAGAGACAGCATGCCCTCTATAATGGCTGCCTTTATATAAACACCTCTTAAAGGGATAGAACCCATCCCCAGTCTTAAAGGGAAATACCCATGCTATGCTGAATCACCTTCATTTCATCAGCTTAACATTGCATCAGACTTACAGCACCTGGCAGCTATTACTGCTGCTGGTCAGCTCTTAAAGCTTAATATCTCAACATTCTCTGTCTTTAGAAAGTGACTTTATCTTGCTTTAAGAACTACTTTGAGCCAAGGATCACATTCCCTTAAAGAAAGGCTGGAAAGAGCATGGCTGGCTAGGAAATTCTGGGAATTGAAGTCCATGGATCTTAAAGTTAAGGTTGAGAAACACTGGTTGATGGGGAAGCCAGCTTTAGGGGTTGGGCCTGAACTGTGGAATCCAGCTCCCTGCTCCACTGCATTTTACTAGCATTTCCAATTTACCCAAGTAGGCCAACTATTCACAAGGGGTACTAAATATCGGCATATAACCCAATTTGCTGTGCTGTCCTTGGTGTTTAGATCTTCACCAACAAATGCTTCCAAGCGGGCTGCAGAAAGAAAGAGATGATGCGGCTGGTTTGTGACCAGTGTCACCAGAACTTCTGTCTTCATCACCGACATCCTTTGGACCACCAGTGCCCAGGACGGATTTGGCCTGTCTCCAAAGCTGGGTAAGGCTACTGGGCTGGGAAGACCGCATGATGGACCTCTTTCAGGACATGTCCCGAATTGAGTCTCGGTGGTTTTCAAAAATGGTTGGGCCTTGTTTAGAGACCTCTGGCGTAAGAATTTGTCCATTCCAGCTGGTTGATGAATTGAAGGAATCTGTTTACAGGGTGGCTACAGGATATCTTTCAATGAGGAAGTGAAAATTACAGCTAGTTAACATTAGTTAATGTTTATTCATTAATTTATAGGTTGCTGAGACTTTAAAACAGGTCCAGGTGGTTTATGAATAATGAAAAAAACCCGATTGCATCAAAGTAATAAACACACCAGATAGTTAATAATGAAACTTTCCTATTCATAGTCAAAAATCCTTCACTTAAATCCATATTAACTTCCTCCCAGGTGTGCGGCTATAATGAGGTCCCTGCAATCCAAGAACAATGCTCCCAACTGTCGGCTCCTACAAAATGGGTAAGGTTGGATCTTTTCTGATCAATATAAGTAATCCCCATGCATGCTTCAGGTGTGCCCTGTTGAAACTTTAGCACAAAACTTTTATTATTGATTTCTGAATGTGCCTGACTTAGCTGGTTAGTCTGTTTGTACGTGCAGAATATTGTACACATCTAAAATCTAGCAGAAATAAAAAGTGGGAATAGAAGTTATGAACTTGCAAGAAATACTAGTTTGGAACTTCTGGTTAGCTAATTGCATTTTTGTTTTTTGTTCTTTCAGATGCAAAGCAAAAAGTTGATGTATACCACAGGTTTCAAACTCAGTTGTGTCAGGTGACATATCACGATGTTTTATGCGTTTGCAGAGCTGGGATGGGCGTGGCCTGCATCCGGCCCACGGCCCCCTCCAGTTTGACAGGCCTGATGTCTACAGTTGGGATCGAAATCTATCTGAAGTCTGTGGATAACTGTCCATCTTTAGCTCTTAAAAATTAACTGTACTCTTTTGCACATTTTCTGATTAAACGATTTCCTCATATTGTCGTGGTGGTTGCTTGAACTTAAATCACAGAACTGCTGAAGAAGAGCAAGATGAGCCATACCTTTGAAGAACATGTCTTGCCTAGGATAGTGGCCACAGCAGATTCCTTGATCCAAAATGAAATTCGAGAAAACCTTAGGCCCTTTAACCCAAAAGTGCTTTTCCAAGAGGCAACTGGACTTTCTTGTTTTTCTGTGAAGAAGTTTCGCTTTTCATCCAAGAAGCGTCTTCAAAGAAAAACAAGGAAATCCAGTTGCCTTTTGAAAAAACACTTTTGGGACAACTATGACTTGGATAGGCCTTTAAGATATGGTGCTCCAGGATTTTTGATGGCTCTATTGGCATAAAATATTTCATAAAATAAAGAAAAAATGGCATTTGTATTTGCATTTGCAAAGGAAGACCGAAAAAAAGCACCACATCTTTTAAAGCTTGAAATCAAGCCATCCTTTTCTAGGCATCCTTCACCTATGAATGCTACACGTTGTTCTCGTGAGCAGAGGCATCGGCCTTAATAACGGTAGTCCTCATCTTACGACTGGTTGTTTAACAACAGTTCAAAATTACAACAGGCATCCCCAGAGTTATTTATGACCCACTTTTGTGGGTTTCAACTCAACTGGCTGGGGAATTCTGGAAGTTGAAGTCCATGACTTCAAATTACTAAGTTTGACCAGTCATTCAAATTCCAACTAACTGGAATATTGAAAAGAGCTCAAAAAGCACAAGGTTTCGGAGTCTCTTTTATTTTGCTGGATTTATTCCGACAGAGGCATGTGGTTATTTTTCAGGTTAGAGAGATCCCTGCTGAGTGAACACTTTCTTTCCAGCTTAGTTTTATTTGCAATATATGAATAACCCACAGGGTGTCGCCACCCACAAAACCAACCCATTTTAGGCTGCTGACTCCTCTTCAAAGACAAAAATGTAATGTAGGTTTTTCCAAATCCAGCCTCCCAAAAATACAGATGTCAGGCTGGAATGCGGAACTTCTTTTAAACATGGGTTCTCCCCCCCCTTCTAGAGTCAGAAAGGAGCAGGTTAAATGGGAAAGAGCTGTACAAATTGAAGAAATATGTATAGTGGTTTAGTGGTGTTTCCCCCCCTGTTTTTTTGTGTTTATAAAGTAGTAGAGATTTTGGCACCAAGCTCAAAAATGTGTTATTTTTTTCATACTGTTAAAAACTAAAGTTACATTTAATATAATCAATTTAGAAGAGACTCTGTAGTTCAGGGTTGGATTGTGGGGTCCTTCTCTGAACAAGTTTGCTTGCAGATGTTGCATTATCCAAGTAACATCAAGAGCAAGTTGCAAGTTTTTATATTATTTTATTGCAGCTATGCTGGGTGAGGAACTCTGGGAATTGAAGTCCACACTGCTTTTAAAGAGGATAAATATTGCTTTAACACTAAGCAGACTAGGAAAAAAGTTTGCAACTGCTCCTTTTGAATTGTGAGTTTTATTTTTATTTGGAAGGGGTATTTTTAAAAGGCAAACTCAAGAGGGTTCTTGTGTTTCTCTTTTTAATTGTCTTAATTTATCATTTTAAACGCTTCATTTAAAGCAAACAGAGCATAGAATGGGTAGGAGAGCCTGGCACGCAGCGTCCAATCAGGAAAGAGGGAGAGCGCACGCGCCCTCCGCCCCTGGGGGGGGCGCACCTCGCGCAGCCGCGCTGGCGTTCCTCGCTGGCCACTCCCTTCACCCCGCCCCCGCCGCGTGCGAAGAGAGAGCGCATGGATCCGGAAGAGTCGAGGTGGGGGGCGGGAGTTAAAAGCCGGCTCGGCCACTCCTGGGAACTGCCGCGAGAGGACGGGCGGGCGGCGCGGCCAGTCAGAGCGCGGGGGTGCCTGGACAGCCAATCGGGGCTCGAGGAGGACGGGGCGGCGGCCAGAAGGAAGCCGGCGGGAAAAGGCGGAAGAGCGGCTGCTGAAGAAGCCGGGGAGGCCGCCGGGGTGAGGCCGAGGTGGGTGGCGGAGCCGGTGGGGAGGGGGGGGTCGCCCACGTGCTCCGAGGGGAGTGATGGGCGGGGCATCTTCCCCCTTTGACCTTTGACCCGTTTTCCTCGTCTTTCTCGCCTCGACCTTCACAACAACCCCGCAGGGTCGGCCAGTCTCTATTTCCTCCCTTGCCAAACCAAAAGCAGGCCCGCCTTGGGGGTGGGGAGGGAAGAGGAGGGGGAGGACTCAGGATGATGCTGTACCACAATGCCCAAAAGCGACTACAACACCCGTGACCCCCAAACACCCATGAGCCCCAAACCACAACAACCATAAGCCACAAACGACAACACCCATGAGCCCCAGGCGGCTACAGCAAGGGTGACTCTGGGTGGCTTCTCCAAAGCAGATGGGGGAAATAACGACAGGCGGTCCCCGGCTTACAGAAGTTCGCTTACTTACGGCCCTTGTTCACACTTAGCGACCGTTGCAAGCATCCCTGTGGTCGTGTGATCCAAATTGAGCCGCTTGGCGATGGACTCCTTTTTATGACGGTTCCATGTCCTGGGATCCCTCTTTTGCGACCTTTTGACCACCCGCCCAAGTCAAGGGAGAAGCAAGATTCACTTAACGACCATGTTACATAACAACTGCAGTGATTCACTTAATGGTGAGAAAGGTTGTAAAAATGGGGTCAAAACCCACTTAGCAGCTGTCTCGCTTAGTAACCGAAATGTTGGGCTCCATTGTGGTCGTAAGCCGAGGACTACCTGCATTCAACAGCAAAAGATTTGCTAAAAGAAGAGGCAAGAATTGGCAGGCCCTCCCTAGAATGTGAAGTCCCGGCTATAATGCGGCACCCTCTAACTTGGGTTTAAAAACCAGAGATTTCCTGTCTCTGCTGTATTTTGCTGAACACTTTTGGGCATTAAATGCAACATTAGTGCAAGTCTGCCAATGAATGTTGATTGCAAAAGAAAACTCAGGTCTCATTTGGCAACTATGTATTTCAGCAGATTATATTTATTTTTAAATGCCCATTTATAAACATTGTAAAAAAAATACAGGTATTTGTTTGCCATAGTGGTTTTAAAGTATCTGTTGTAGAATCAACACATAGAGTATCTTGGGCGCACTGGATTTCCTGAAATTCGACTTAGAACAGAAAAATTTAGAAAAAAATAGATCCACTTGCCTGCAGATTGGTCATTTTTATTCTCCTAAAGATATGATTTCATGTCAGAATAACAGAAGGGACCTTGGAGGTCTTCTAGTCCAACCCCTGGATCAGGCAGGAAACCCTATATCATTTCAGATAAATGGTTGTCTAATCTGTTTTTAAAAAGTGCTTTTTCAAGAGTCCTCTGGACTTTCTGGTTTTTCTTTGAAGACTTTTCGCTTCTCATCCATCCATCCAGAAGGAAGTTAAATTTTCGGGGGGCAAATTTATAATTTTTTCTGGTGAACAAACAAACCTCTTCGACACATACGATTTCTTTTTATTTATTCGTTCTAGAGTTATAAGTCACAGGAAAAACTGATGAAGGCAGAAAAGAAAAAGCATCTTTCACCAGAAAAGAGGAAGATGAAGCAGAAAAAGAAATCCGCAAAGCATCCAAAACCACAAATGGCACCAGAGGAGGATGAACCTGTGCTGAAAAAACATAAACTAAATGTGAGTAAAATAAATATGAGTCATTTGATCCTAGAAGTGTTTTCTTTCACATTTTCAGCTGTGAATCCTACTTGTTCAACAATATAGGCAAGACAATATGTTATATTTTTTAAAAGTTTCTTGATATTATTGCCAGGTGCTCTATATTTTTCTATTTTCTAATCTGAGTGAAGAGAATCTGAAATGAGATGCTAAGAGAACCTATTAGAAGCCTGAGACTTTTAAACAGGACCCTCGCTCTTAATATCTTTCATACTTATCTAGAAAACATATGCACGTAGTGGTTTATAGTTAGATGGAGGAATAGCAGACCACACCTCTTAAGCATATTATTATTATCTCTTACAGTATCTAATTTGTCTTGTGCCTAAAGATACCTTCTCTAGCCTTCATTTAGTATAGAATAAATAGACTTACATAGAATAAATAGATGTAGGTGTTTTGGGATACAAGCATGTCCATCATTGGTTAAAATTATCCTTGTGCAAAAGAATTTGTGACCATTGCTGTGTGTCTTCCGTGTACATTTCTATGTGCATTCTTAAAAACAAGGGTAAATTTACTTGGCCGTGTTGCTTATTGCAAATGTGCGCCTTTACTTAAAGGTTGCACCTGAGAGCAAAGCCTTTTAATTTAGTCACTCTGGACCAGCATCTCACAGTTGTAGAAAACAAATAGGATATTTACATTTAACTGGCCGTTTCATTTTCTGCCTATTTGCAGTGAATTTGTTTCGTGGTCTGCCAAGGCTTTATAAGTTTTGAGAACATTTCCCCCCTCTCTGTATATTAAACGCACAGCATACACAGCAGTTATCCAATGTTGTGCTTAGCCCCACAATCTGGCTTTTGTTAGCGAGACCCGACTGACCGCTTTTGACCTTCCCCCGCTGAGAGAAGAGGAAATCCCTCGTATCCCCTCTCCTTGCTAGCCCCATAGGGACTAGGCTGAGTAAAGAGAAAGAAGAGTTTGTGTGAATTTATGGCATATACTGTTCTTCACAAGTTCACGTGGTATAGAGTCGGTAAGACAGAACATTGAAAACTTCCAGTTTGTAGCAGCTGAAGTATGCGATCAATTAAAGAATGGATTTGTAACTGGATTTCTTGTCTCTTTATGGGGATGGTGGTGGAATTTTCCTTCTTTGGTTTCTCTGTTCCTGCTTGATGGGCCAAATACCCCACCATGTTCTCGTTTAATTTTAAAGCGAAGTATATGATACATGTACTTGTTAATGTGAGGAAAGGGTTTCTCTGGTTTGTTGCTGTGTTTCGCTGAAATGTACCCTACTGGGTCTGACTGAGAACTTCTGTTAAAAGTGCAGACTTCAAACTTGATTTGATGCAAAGCTGCATCACAGCGTGATGGAGTGTTTTGTAAGAAGTGGAACTCAGGATTATGTTGACTTACTGCCTCTCAGCATAAAGTTTACGGTTCTTTTAAAAAGTTTCTCATTTCTTTCCCTCTTCAGCTAAGGATTTTGTCGTTCCTGACATAGGTGTAATAGCAATAGCACTTATATACCGCTTTACAGTGCTTTACAGCCCTCTCTAAGCAACTTAGAGAGTCAGCCTCTCGCCCCCAACAATCTGGGGCCTCCTTTTACCCACCTGGGAAGGATGAAAGGCTGAGTCAACCTTGAGCCTGGTGGGATTTGAACTGCCAAATTGTAGGCAGCTGGCTGCAGAAGTAGCTTTACTCTAACCACTCTAACCACTGCACCACAGAGGCTCCAATGTAATGCTAATCTAATGAGCTGGGATTTGCTGAGTTCCAGAGGCCTTGCCTAGTCAGAATTTGGACTGTCTGGTGTTCTGTAATCCTCAAGTGATCAGGTCCCTCCAGAAAACAAGAACAGGTTCATATCTTCATACAGAAATCAGCTTTCTGGAGGGACCTGGACACCCCCCCCCCCACCCACTCCTCCAGCTATGGATGGAAGTGAGTTCAGAAAATTTAAATGTAGAACTGGTGGATTGTTGTGATGTGATGAGTATATTGCTGTGGACTTTGGTGACTTATTCTGATTTTATGGAATCTTATGAGCTATTTATGAGACTGGCACCCATTTAAGTTTTCTAAATAAATAAACAATACCAGTCGTATTTGGAGGTAATCCAAGGAAAATGATCTGCAATAAGAACTCCAGGTCAAGGCAACTGGGTGTAAGGGTTATTGATAGTGGGAAAGATCTTAGAACCTGCCATTCCTTTACTTTTGGGCAGAGATTGATGCTTGGTTAAAACTGGTGATTCCAAGCTCTCATCTTGGTCAAGTGTTGTGTGAACGTCTTTCTACTCACTGCATCCACCAAGCATTGGATCAACTGCAACAATTTCCTTTGTAGTTTTAAAGGTGGAGAAGGAATGTCTGGATATGTCACAACCTGGTTTATCTCGGGTAACTTATCAGCCTTCCTGCAGTATAAATGCGTGCTTTAAAACAACAGAGCTGTCTGTTTCTGGAAGGCAAAACTGTCTTGAAGATATTAGAGAGGTTTCTTTTTATGCCTAACTTAACTGAGTAGAATTTATTCACTCCCTTCAGGGACTACCGGTTTACTTTTCCTGCCCTGCTTCTAGCTTAATTCACCCCTTCTGCATTGGCCACAAATTCAAGAAAACGCGGAGGGATTTGTTTGAAATATTTTATATGTAGAGATAAGGCTGAATAATCTTGCATTCCTTTGAATATTTTTATAATAGACTGAGCAAATTTCCCAGGAAGGCATATTCACAGCTGGGAAAACAGTCCCTACTTTGAAAATGGTTTTCCCAGGCGAAAGGCTTCCATCTCCCACTGTTTTTGATATAAACACAATATTTGGCGTCCTATTTAGCAGAGTTCCAAGAGGTTAGGAATTCAGACTTCACCAACAGATCCCACCAACCGTGTACAGTATATATAGTATATACGTTGGGCTGTGTTGCCATTTCTTATATCGGACTGTTCCAAACGCGGATGAGTAAATAGGAACATTGGCTTCCATTTTGCTGGGTAGGTAGTCCTCAACTTACAGCTACAGCTGAGCCCAAAATTTCTGTTGCTAAACGGAAGCGAGTTGTGCCCCATTTTATGTTGCCACTGTTGTTAAATGAGTCACTGCACTTGCTAAGTCAGTGACACAGTCGGCAACTGTCATCAATAATACGAGTCAATTGACAAGCATCTGAATTTTGATCATGTGACCACAGAGATGCTACAACGGTCATAAGTGTGAAAAAATGGCCCTAAGACCCTTTTTTCCAACTTTGTGATTTGTGACACACACACACACACACACACACACACACACAAGAAAATATTCCCCAAGATTACCAAAGGACTTGGCTTCCAATGCTAATGAATCACTAATTGCAAATGTTAGTTTAGTGATTTGAATATGATATTCTAGTGTAATGAAATACGATAGGTGGTCATTTCTTTATCTTAATAGCTTTTAGGCTGGAATCTTTTCCTTTTAACTAGCCAGCACAAATAACCGTAAATAATTTCTCGGCTCTTCACTGCAACCATCTCTAAGCTCACAATCCTTGCTTGCGTTAAAGAATTGGGATGCATTTCTGACCGAGCTAAGGCACATTTCAGAAGTGCGGTTATCCTAATTCCTTTCTTGAAACTCCCCAGCTCTGTGGAGGTTGGAGGGCAGTTGGCTTCAAGATCGCAGCAGCCAGTATGAGATAAGGCAATAACCTGCTTTGCCCGAGAACAGAAGTGAGCTGGCAAGCAGGAGCGCTTCAATCAGCAAAATTGGTGTTTATTCTTAGCCTTTGGTGTTGCCGTATCCCTGAGCGAGGAAAAGGGAGATAAGTGAAGTGTAAAAGAGAAGCTTGAAATGTCATCAAATTTGAATTTACCAGCTCAGGGAGAGCGCTTAGGGAAAGACTTGGGGGCTGGAGGTAGCTCAACTCTCAGGGAGTAGACTCAGGTGGCCCTGCTAGTCAGTAGTCTTGGCATATTAAAAAAAAAAAAGGCATTTAATTAATAGGCCCGTATCTCTCCTGTTAATGAGAGCAGTGAATCGGTGGAGCTGCTTGCCTCCAGAAGTTGCGGGTGCTCCGTAACTGGAGGTTTTACAAGAAGAAACAGCATCCTTTATCTGAAATGGTGTAGGGTCTCCTGCTTAAGCAGGGGTTGGACTAGAAGACCTCCAAGGTCCCTTCCAATCAATATTCTGATCGATGGAAGTCGTGCTTGAAGCGAGTTGCATCCCTGGCCGTTCTGAATGACATCCCACCTACCAGGCGTCTCATAATTCCTTCTGTGGATAGATGTTCCTCACGGGTTACTTCCTCGCGGTTTGGTTCCCCCCCCCCTCCATTCCAGAATGTGGGTGCTGTTTGCCGTAACAACCCTGCGTCCTTCGTCCTTAGCGTCCCCGCAGAGGAAAGCTTTTAAGTTTATTAAAAGCGGGGTCTGGCGTTCCTTGTCAAAACGGTTAGGGTTTTTATTATGCTCTCGTGACCACCCTGACTCTTGGCTGTTCCCAAGAGCTCCACAAACAGATTTGCTCAGTTAGATAACTGCAAGTAGAAACGAGAGCATGCTGTTGGTTTAACATTTACTCATTGCAAGGCTGGAAAGCGGCCAGGCCAGGCTGTGGCTGAAGGCATCTCTCTTGTTCCTCTTTGTCCAAAACTTTCCCACCAAAGACAAGAGGTCGCTTTATACTTGATCCAGACGAAACAGCACTGAAATCCCATCAAAATTGCAACAGGATTCAAATCGTAGCTGACATTCCATCTGCTTAATTTGACTGGGACCCAGCCGTAAAATACTAACCGAAGCCAACCCCAAATTATTCTTTAATGCAGCGTTTTAAATCTTTGGCATTTCCTTGCATTGGGAGTGTAGAGAGGGCGGTATTGCTATCCATAGGACAGATGAAATTCAAAGAATAATGGGGGGGGGGGAGTCAGTAGCTTGTCACCCAGCGAGTTCTTGTTGACTTTTCGCTTTTTCATCTAAAGATGAAGTGAGATTGTGGATTATCTCTCGGTTCTAGGCAATGCAAGCTCAGAGCTGATTCGTGAATTTGTGAAGTCTGTGAGTAAATGCTGAGTATTAAAAACACCTATGGGGGGGTCGTAACAGTGGGAGTTGCCCAGATATTTCATACTGAAACAGATGTAACCCAAGTGGCCAAGTATTTATTTTCTCTTCGTAAAACTTTTCCTAACATTTCAGTCCAGTTTTAGATCAGTGTTCTTCCTTATAAGAACAGCAGCTGCTGCAATAAACGTGTATATGACTGTTCAGATCTCCAAATTATTAGTTAGGTTTAGACTTACAGTATTTAGCAGATTTAGTGCCATGGAAATATAGAGACTCCCTCATCATTTAGTGATTATTTTGTAAGATTTAGATATCCCAGAGCTCTCCAAACTTGGCAACTTTCAGACTTGTGGACTTCAACTCCCAGACTTCCAGAGAATTCTGGAAGCCCACAAGTCTTAAAGTTTGGGGACCCCTTGAGATAGCCTATCAGGCCTTTTAGCTCCCTCTTTATGCCTCCTATCTTCCAGCATGCCAACCAGGCCTATCCTGAGGAGAGCAGGCAGGACCCATAATGCACAGAGCCTGAGAGTCCGCAGCCCATGCCAGAGAAGAAGCTGGGAAGGGAGCCTGCCATGCCATGCAGGAATGATCTGAAAAGCTCCTCAGATCCACCTCCACCTTCTGCTCAGGCCAAGGACCAACTGGACAGCAACTTCAGATGTGCTAGCATCGCCAGGGATGCTCACAAGCGTCTATTCTCACAACCCTCCTTCCCCAGAAGGATTTTCCTAGCTGCTGTCCGATCCTTGCTGTCCTTCAATGATGACACTGAAATCTGGGCCTCGGAGGTCTATGGAACCAATGAGGTTCCCTTTCCCCCTAAATCCCAGCTCTTCAATAGAGTAGCCAGAAGGAATCCATTCAAATATGCCTTTTCTACGTTGGAATCTGTTGAACTCATAACGCTGCGTAAAGAATACTTTAAAAGATCTCAGAGGAAACTGGATTCTTGACTGGCCTTTGGTTGTGAGAGCAATCCACCAGTGGAACAGCTTGCCTCCAGAAGCTCCATTACTGGAGGTTTTTAAGAAGAAATTGCCACTTGTCTGAAATGGTATAGGATCTCCTTTTTGAGCAGGGGGTTGGGCTAGAAGACCTCTAAGGTCCCATCCAAATCGGTTACTCTATGTTCCATGTTCTATGTATCTTATGTACCTTGGCTTAGTTTACAAACCGATTCACATCTGCACTGGAACACGGGAGAAGGACGCTATTCTAAACCCAGATTGCTTCTCTGTTTCCCTTAATTCAGTTTATGCCACAGAATACATCTGCCTGAGATCAAATCGTGTGTTAAACTTGGCAGCTGTTTCCTTAACTGAGTTTGCAAGATGATACATATGCAAGTGGAAAACCACTGACTTCTCTGCCTCTTAATATCAATAGCTTCTATTGAATTTTTCCCAGGGTTGCTGCAGTTTTATTCTATTTCCTAGGGCATCTAACATAGATCAGGCAGGTAACGGTATTCAAGAATCATATTACAGTTACATTTTTCCATAAGTAATTGTCAGATTCCTCGCCTATATAAATGCAGCTGACCTTCAGGGGAAGCTGATATTCTCCTCCCTAATTAAAGCAGTACCGTGTCACTGTTTTGCACATCCTTACAGAAACATGGTGAATGGGACGAAACCCACACTTGTTTTGTTAGTAAGAAGCAGGAGTGAGCAGAGTCTATTCATGGGTTCGGGCTAAGCTAAACCTCCGACTGTTCGGTGCTATCCGAAATCACTGATTTCAGCGTCGCGTGGCAGAGGCGGTTTAACATGGAGACGTTGGTCTTCTGTTCCATGTACAGCTTCAGTTTGTCCCTGAAGGTCTCCCCGAGGAAGCTGTAGATAAGCGGGTTCAAACAGCTGTTGGAGAAGGCCGCCAGGTTGACGATGTGCCCCGTTAAGGGGTAGTTATGTCTGAAAGAGCGGCCTCTGGATGAAGGCTCGTCCGTCTTCTGGAGAAGCTGCACGCTGAGGAAGACGTTTTCCGGCAGCCAGCAAATGAAGAAAACCAGGACAACCACGAAAATCATGCGCAGGGCTCTCTGCCGGCGAAGGCGCAAACTCCGGTGCTTGTGGGCACTAATCAGCACTCGGGCGATTAAGGAGTAGCAGAGGCCGATGATGGCGAAGGGGATGATAAACCCAACAGTGATTTCTAGCCACTGGATTTCCACCACGTCGGCAAAGCAGAAGTGTACCTCCCCCGAGTGTTGCCAGTGGACGGCCGTGAAGGGCACCAGGGCGACCGAAATGGAGCCCAGCCAGATGAGGCCGCAGCTGAGCCTGGCGTGTTCCATGGTGCGGAACAGGTTGGACTTCATGACTTTGGCCAGGGCCATGTACCTGTCGAAGCTCATCCAGGTGAGGAAGAAGATGCTGCTGTACATGTTGATCTGGAGGAAGAGGGACATGAACGTGCAGAGGACGGTGATGTCGTAGTATTTCTCGTCGAGGTTAAACACCTCGATGAGGGAGTCCACCACCAGGATCAGGTCGGCCGCCGCCAGGTTAATGAAGTAGAGGTCGGGGATGGTCATCTTCTCGCGGAAGCTGATGTTCACCACCAGGATGAGGATGTTCCCCACGAAGCCAATGGGAAAGAGGAATATCGTGTACAGGCATGATAGGAAAAGGCCGATTACGTATTGCTGATGCTCGGACCGGTCAGCAAGGTTGAGGGCCCGGGTCTCGTTGCAAAAACGGGATCCGTTGAGTTCAAAGTAGGTCCCGTTGCACAGGGCCGGAGAGGCCGTTCCCACGTAAATTTCTGTAGTGTGATTCTCCGCGAAATACGTAAACCTGGGCTTCGGCGCCAGGCTGCCCAGGTGGCCCGTGGTTCCAAAGAGATCTGCGGAGATCATGATTGCAGCCCCCGAAGCCCGAATCAGTTAAGACTCTTCGGAAAAGGTCCTGGAAATCATGGGGAGATGCTAGTCCTCAGTAGGACGGGTGCCTGCCAATTCATGTTCTGTCACAAAGGAGCTTTTTCATAGCGGCAGAGGCGCTTTTGGGCAGGTGTGCATCTTGCTTCTGTCGAAGACCTGCTCACGGTTTGAAAGACGCAGATCCATCTAGGGCCGTCTCCCCCCGGTTGGCCCGCAGCAAACGCTCGACCTGCAATTCATGAAAGGAAAATTAATCTCTTTTCTGCGAAATTGGACACATCCAGCGGCGTATAGCAACACGGGTGACTTCGGCATCTGCTCGTGTAAACTCCGGCTATTGTCTTTTGGGGGTTTAGTGAGAGGAGCCCTCATAGGCCGGGGAGGTGCGTGTGTTAAGTGCAAAAGTGCTAAACAAACAGGCGTCTTCTGACAGCTGAGATCCATTTAGTGGCGAGAGGAAAAGAGCCTCTCAGCGTTGCTTTTTCCAGGAATGGATAAAAATCAGAAATGGAGCCGATTTGGGAAGAAGCAAGAAATCAGCTTTCTGCCGAGTTGAGTTCTTTCTTCTTATAGATAATTGTTAACACCCCACATTATTATCTCCTCCTGTGACTGAAAAAGGGGTAAACCTTCAGAGACCAGAGGGAGAAAAAAGGGATTTTCCTGGTTTTTTTTTACTTTTTTCCCTTCACCGTGAATCTGTGTTTTGTTTTGTTTTTTTAATACATAGACTCTGTCTAATGGATGCACATTTTAAATTGTGATTAAGACACTGCCTAGAACCTGTTTAAGAATGGAAGGCTTCCCAAAGAAAATGCACCTTCAGTAGTTGCTTTTTCTGTGAAAATCCCTCTTTTACTCTTCTGAAAAATCAAAATATTTTTGTGCAATAAAAGAGCCATCCAGGGGACTGACGTTTTCAGCCACGGTACGCGAAGAAACCGAGCAGCAAATTTTGTCAGTGAAAGTGACATTTTGAAAGGAAAAGAAGATTGTTTTACTTGGTAGGTTCTGTTTGTCCTAGACGCGTCTGAGCTACGGTTTGATCCTGGTTTAATTCAATCCTGATAGGACTCTCTGATTGGACTGCCTACCATGTTCCTTCGAAGTTAATAGATGGCTTGTGGTTCTGATGGCTTGCTCGTGAGTTATAAGTCAGTTCTTACCCTTTTTTATGCGATCGCATGCTTTAGAAAGTAAGCTTCATGGGTTTGCTTCTGTTTTATTTCGAGAACCAAAAAAACGACTTTCTTACCTAAATACTGTAATGTTGGAATTACTGTGGAACTGTCACGGACCCAGTTTTTACAATTAAGGCATCCTTTCAAAAGTGTGAAAAACCTTATAAAAGTTCAATTTGCCGACAGAAGGTTGAAGCATAGCACATCTGTATTTTAACCTGCTTTTTAAAAAATCCTTTTTTTATAAACGACCATGAAGTACACTAAAGTGCATGGTTTTGTTTTGTTTTTAAAAAACAACACTTGAAATAATGCTACTTTGGTGACAATCTGTTTAGGCACAAGATGTGCAAAAAAAACCCTACAGTATTTCAGTTAATGTTCCTTACTTTCAGCTCTCCTTAGGTTCATTAATTATTGCATTTATTGTACACAGCTGGACATCCATAAATATTAGCTGATCCAGAGTTGGTTTCCTTCCAACTACCGGTAGGCTGGTTTATATTTAAGGGCAGCATCTCTACAGTCCCAGTAATCGAAATTAATTTCATTTAGAGGTATGGTTCAGCTAGAAATGGAATTATACCTTTTTTTTTAAAAAGTGCTGAAATTGTTACTGGCAACAGATTAATAGCTGACATCAAATTGTACCAATAAAAGAAAAAAAGATGATAGACGGTCTCGCTTTTGCCTTTCCTTTCCGACTTAAAAAAATATCTTGAGGAAACTTAACTCCATTTCTGCTGACTAGTTTTTTTTTCCTTCTCACCAGTTGAACGAGTTTGTCTGATTTTTTTTTTATCCTCCTTTCAAGAATTGTTTGCCCTTCTCCCTCTTGCTTTCCTCCTTTTATTTTCTTTTGAACACCTATTTAAATAGAAAGATAAAGCCAGATGCCATTGCACCGGCTCTGCTCACTTAAGTAAACTTCACTTTAAGAACTTCACTGCAAACCGGAGCAACAAAAGAGAGGAAAACGAGATAGGAAGAAGGCCGATCAAATCCCCGAAAATCAGCAAGCCAAATAAGTTCGCCTTACCTTTCTTGGTTCACCCGGTTTCTCTTCTGGATCGCAGGCGTGTTTCTGTCCCTTTGAAATATGTTCTCAGGTGTCCTTTTTCCACCCCGGCCGGTTTCAAAAACCCATCGCCTTCTAAATCCTGATGCAGCAGGTGGAAAGTGGTTTTCTCTGTCTGGGGAGGAAGCCGGTCAATACAGGAATGACCCCCCACACACACCTGGTGGTTGCTCGGCCAGAATCGATCTACCGACTGTGGGAAAAAGAGGGTTGAGCAGCTGGGTTGAATTCTGCCTTCTGAATGGAATGACAGGCAAGGCCACTGGCTGAGCGCACAGATCTCTCTCGCGCTCCCTCTGGAGAAAAGGATGCTCCATGTGCCCTATCTCTCTCTCTCTTTCTCTCTCTCTCTCTCTCTCTCTCACACACACACTCCCTCCCTCCTTCCTTCTCTCTTCTCCCCACCCTTTTTTTCCATCTTTCTCAAAAAGGCAGATGCAAAGTTTTAGGCACGGGAGGTCTTCTCATCTGGATCCCTTTCACTGAGACGCAACCTTAGAAGTAAGGAGAACTTTTTCTGACCGTTGAGGGCAATTAATCACACGTGCCTTTAAAATTGTGTGTGGGTGTGGATTCTGTGAGTAAGTTCTGGGCATTAAAAGAGGCATTGAGGGGCTCCTACAAGGATGGAGGGGTCAGCTTATTTTCCAAAGCACCAAAAGGCAAGATAAGCAACGGATGGAAACTAACCAAGGAGAGAAGCAACCCAGAACTAAGGAGAAGCTCAATTAAATTAAATTAAATCCTAGCATTGAGAGCAACCAATCCATGGAATAACTTCCTTCAGAAATTTTGGGTGCTCCATCACTGGAGGCTTTCAAAAAGAGACTGGGGAACTGTTTGACCGGGAGTTGGCATCAGGTGTACCTTGAGCAGAGGTTAGACTAAAAGACCTCTGTGGGGTCCCTTCCAGCCCCAGGACTCTATATTCTATGACCACATTCGTGCACAGGTAGAATATTAGATGAGGATCTAGAATGGCGCCACTTCTGGAGGTCCATTAAGGCCACCAAATCTGGGCTATCCAGAAAGAGGCTCTATTCTGGTTTTCTAGATTCCTCATCCCCTCCCCCTTTTTTTGCAAGCTGTCTTTGGTAGCTGTGGGGTCCTGCATTAACTAAACTGTACCGTACCCTTTCTTGCAAACTGCCTCTAAAATGGGAGGGACTTATAAAAGCAACTCGGGGTACAAGAAGGAAGCGATACTAAAAGGAAAAGACCCCAATCCCAGTGGGTAGCTCTCGCCCTTTAAGCTGTCGTTGGCATTTCTTATCCCCCAAATTTATAAAGTTTACAAGAAGACTTCGATGGAAGACTTGGAGGGAAAAAAGAAGGAAAAAGCACCCCAAATTCTAACTCCCTGTTTGGAAGGAGGAGAGAGGGTGCCAATGGACGCCTCAACACCCTTCCAAGTTCTTTCTCTTTTTCTCTGTTTTAAAAGTGAGGGGTTTTTTTGTTTTTGTTTTTGAGTCTAAGACAGCGGTTCTTATCCTGTGGTCCATGAACTCCTGGGGGGAGGGGAGCACGAAAGCTTGAAAAAAATATGATTTAAATCTTGAGTTACATCTTGGGAGTCCATGACCACGGTCCATGGCCACAAAAGATATTTAAGGGGGCGGGGCTGTTGTGAAGGAAAGGTTGAGAACCCTTGGTCTAAACAATGTCACAAACTGTGGATTTAATTTTAGCTTTCACCAAAGTCCGTGCAACCAGCTCACTCCCCTTCCCCCTTTAGGTTTCAATTAAAAATTAAAACTTGCCTCTTCTGGCTTATACAGCCTTAACTCAGGGGTGTCAGGGGTACCTTGGGCGCTTGACGTTTGTTGGACTACAACTCCCAGAATTCCCTAGCCGTGGCTGTCCTGGGGAATTCTGGGAGTTGTAGTCCACAGGTCTTAAAAGTGGTCAAGATTAGGGCGACCCTGGCTTGTTAATGCAGATTTCAGAGAAGCAGCCAGAGATACAAGCAATGTAGCATTGCGTCAGCTTTTGTTGACCAGGAACGATGAAAGCTTACACAGCACTAAATTTGTTAGTCTTTGAAGGTGCCCCCCGAGTGTTTATTTTGAATAAAACCTTGTATACTTTCCATTCTGTGCATCCATGATGGAGGGAAGCTAAGTGCCTTCCATTCTCTGGTGTGGAGATCCCTGTTTTTTTGGAAATCCTTTCTCCGGCCAGCCACGAAATACTTCCCTCTTTCCATCACATTCTGATTGGATGCTGTAAGGCCCCCGTCTTGGCAGGTTGGATCTTAACGCCTAGCTGAACGGTGGCCCCATCCAAAATATCTTGGCTTGCGGCACACTGTGGAAGAAAAATTAGTCATGGAAAGGACCTGGCTTTCGGTACAGTTTGTACTGTTAAATTTTTTGCTCTCCTTGAGGTTCTTGTGAAGCTTCTGAAGATCTTCAGAAACCATTCTTTAGGGCAGGGGTCTCCAAATGTGGCAACTTTTAAGACTTGTGGACTTCAACTCCCAGAATTCCTCAGCCGGCAGAGCTGTCCAAATGGAGTTTTTAAGAAGAGCTTGGGCAACCATTTGTCTGAAATGGTTGTTCCGACCAAGGCTTCCCGAGACCGTAATTAAGCACACGCTGAACAACAACTCTTGTTTTATTTCAGCGCTGGGAATGATGTGCATTCCCAGCCCGTAATGACTCCTGAGATAAGCACCCCACCTTTCTCAGGGATGGGATCCGACCGGTATAACTACCGGTTCTGTTGCTCTGCGTCGCGCGCAAGTGCAATTTATGACCTGCTGAGTTGTCTGGACAGCTGAGCAGCGCTGCGTGCAAGTGCGCAGTGGTTGGAAAAGCCCATTTTTCTTGCTTTTCCAACCACAGCTGTGTCGCGCAAAGCAGCTGTAGTTGAAAATGCAGGAAATAAAGGTCAAGTAAGAGCCCGGGCGGGTGGGTGGGCCAAAACAGCAGCAAACATAGAACCAGTTCTATATATGCTCTCTGTTTGCTGCTCTTCAGAGCAACCAGTTCTACAGAAGTGGACAGAACCGGTAGAATCCCACCCCTGACCTTTCTCTCCTTTGAATGGCTGCCAATAACCAAAGTGCCAAATTAACTGAGAAAAAAAAACCTAATTGAAGTACAAAGTCCACACAGAGCTTCAAGGTTTAATCCAAACAGAGTGAACGACTTTGCTTCCTGCAGAGGTTTCTCTACCTTTGCCTGTCCTTTATCCCTTGGGGAGGGGCAATCACCTCCCAGCCTTACTCCTGAATCGCCCCTTCGGCTTCAGCTGCTCTCGCCTTCTAGCAGCTCTGCGCACACGCGCACTGGGAACAGGCTCCCCTTATTCCTCTGCCTCGCTGCTGCCAGAGTCCAGAGGCTCCGGAGGCAGCACCCCACTCCCAGATGGTCCTGGCCCCATCCCTACATCGGACCCTTGTCCGAGTCCTCCCCAGACTCCCTGACTGGTCCCCGTTCTTCTCCATGGTCCGATTCCGCTGCCATCTGCACAGGCTGCCAGCGAACCACAATAGGACCCTGCTTTAGGGAATCTTTTTAAAAAAATGCAATTTTCCTGCCTCTTTCATGCGTGTTGATAACTATGCCACTTTCCCCCTAAGAGTTAATAATAGTCCTTGACTTACAGCCATTTGTTTAGCGACCAAGATTACAGCAGCGCTTAGAAAAGTCACTTGTGACCAGTTCCACACTTACGACCGTTTGCAGCATCCCTGGGGACATGTGATCCAAATGCAGACATTTGGCAATGGATTCATATTTATGACGATGGTGGGATCTCCTTTTGTGACCGCCTGACAATGGAAAAGCCAGGTCCGCTTAACAACTATGTTGCTAACTTAACAGCTGCAGTGATTCACTTAACAGCTGTGGCAAAACAGGTCGTAAAATGGGGCAGAACTCACTTAACAGTCTCATTTAGCAATGGAAATTTTGGGCTCAGCTGTGGTCATAAGTGGAGGACTTCCTTTTTAATAAATTTTACTTTCTAATAAAATCCTTTAAGAAGACAAAATTAATGCATATTAAAGGCCTACATCATTTTGGGCTAGAAAGTAAAGTTTTCTCCATGCCTCTTTCTTTTTTTTAAAAAAAATCTGTGTCTATTTGATGTGGCTTTACAATATAAAATGACATCTAATTGGCAAGAGGGATGGGCACAGAACAGGATATAGTCTGCTTGCTTTGCTGATCTCCAGGCCCATTGAAATTTAAGCCCTGGCTGCCCAGATATTTATGGTCTAGACGTTTGCAGGAAAAATGGGATATTAAAAGGACAGAGGCTCCAGGTAAAGGGATAATGTGAGTTCACTGTGCTATCGCTGTACTTAATCTAGTAATTCTCACTCATCTTACTTTTGCTATAGGATATTTTTTTTCCCCATTTGGTTTATGGATTTGTATAATTGTATTTCCTTAATTGCCCCAGGAGGAAAAATAGGCTGTGGGTTTGAATTGTTGTTTTTTCTCCTCCTCCTCCTCCTCCTCCTCCTCCTCCTCCTCTTCCTCCTCTCCTTCCCCTCCTCCTCCTTCCCCTCCCTCCTCCTTCTCCTTCTTCCTTCTCTTTCTCCTCCTTCCTCCTCCTTTTTCTCTTTCTCACTCTTTCTCCTTCTTCCTCCTCCTTCCTCCCCCCTCTGCTCCTAGGGAACAAATATTAGACACCAAGAAGTTTCTAACATCCTGTTTGTGCTTGCTAGAAAAATGATTTGGTGTGTGTGTATGTGTGTGACCGCTGCGAAAAATCATGTCGTATTGGCATGCACAGAAGCCCATTGTTTGCAATCTGTTGTGCAATGAAGAGCAAAGCAGAAGCTTAATTCTAAATGGGATCTCAGGGTAGCAAAAGGTATTGATTCCTGCTACGTTAATTTTTTTAAAAAAATTTTTGTTTTACGTATCTCAGAAATTCTAACCAGGGAACCACCAACCTCCCCAACATATCTTCATCCTATGTGCCCTTGTTCGTCGCCTGAATAACCGATTTTGCTAATTGAACAGATAATATTTTTCTGATGGGCTTTTACCATTCCAGGCCCCCTCCTGGCCTGCACACTTATTACATCACAGACCTGAAATTGTCCCAGGTGTGGAGATCGGGCAGCTTTTTGCATTTATTCGGACCACGCTGTTTGATGGGGCTGCGGAAAGAATTGGTGGAAAAGCCAACATCAATCAGGCTAGGAATGGAAAGGATTCATTCTAACTTTCTTCCTCTCTTTTTTGCAGCAAAAATTCAAATGTTATTTTATGTTTTCGGGGGGGGGGGGGGGGGGGGGAGAACAGTTTGTCTGTGTATATATGTGTGTGTGTGTGTTTTCTAATAGTACACAGATCAACACTAAGCTGTGGCAACCAGTTCTGTAATATTTACTGGTCTGTTTTTTAAGGGTACGTAGTGAAGCAAGAGAGAAAAAAACAGAGAAGACAGGCATTATTTGCAATAATAATAATAATAAAGAATTGTTTTGATCCCTTTATTCTGTGGCTAAATTGTGAGCTGCATATATGCTGGCTGGGAAATTTTGGGAGTTGCAATCCACAATAGCAATAGCACTTAGATTTATATGCCGCTTCACAACCTTCTCTAAGCAGTTTACAGAGTCAGCATGTTGCTCCCAACCATCTGGGTCCACAAGTTTTTAAGGTTTTTAAGGTCCAGTTTGGAAGCCTTCCTGCTTTAGTCAATGAAAGGACTTTATTGCCCTTATCCTCTTTGGGTTTTGCTAGCCATAAATCCTGGTGTCATCTCTGTTTCCCACCCATTTTTTAAAAGATCCGAAGCTCCATCAAGAGGGCCCAGGCTCTTTCGCCGTCCCTCATCCTTTTTCGGTAGCTCATTTTAGCACGGCCTTCATCCTCGTCCCATCCGTCGAGCCTTAACAGATAACAGATAAGCAGGGTTGGAAGAGACCTTGTAGGTGTGGTGACCAAAACTGGATACAGTACTCTAGGTGTGGCCTTACTACGGCCAGAATTTAGCAAATCCCCCCTAAGCCTCTTCTCATCCCCGAGAAGGGAATTTCCAAGCCCGAGCCCTGCTATTTCTTTGCTAAGGCAACCTGTTTCCTTCCCCTTGTCGCTTTGCAAACAAGATTCTTCCTTTGCTGTTGACAGCGCAATTCACATTCTCTGGTTGTCAAGCTCTCTGTCTTGTGCCGGCCATCGCTGGCATCCTTTTGTGATGTGTGGTTAAGTTTTAGCTCTTTCTTTCCCAATTGCTCTTTACTCCTAAGCTCATCAAAGCTGCAAAACCTTTCAGAAGGTTGCCAGATTTTCTGCCGGTTCGGATCTCAAAAGCTGGATGCTTTCATAGGCTGGCTTGGACGTATTTCCAGGCAGTCCTCGACTTACGAATGGCAATCGAGCCCAGGATTCATGTGGCTGAGTGAGAGACGTTTGTTAAAGAGAGCTTTGTCCCGTTTTACGATCTTTTCTTGCCACAGCCGTTAAGCAGACTTGTCATTAAGCTAGTAACATGGTTGTTAAGTGAATCTGGCTTCCCCCAGGGACTTGGCTGGCCCCAAGGTTGCAAAAGGGGATCCTTTGACCCCAAGATACGGCAGCTGTCACAAACATGAACCAATTGCCAAGCGGCCGGCTTTTGATGTCATGGCCATCTTGTCAGCGCATTTCGGAAAGCCCAGTTTCGTTGCCTTGAATTCCACCAGCCCTGTTGGCGTCCTGTCTCCCCCTCCCACAACCCCTTGTGAGATGTTTAAGTGCATTCAACAGGGCCGTCCTGTAGGAGGGATGCAGGAAGAGGAGAAGCGCCAAACTTGTGCAGCTTTCGCAGAACAAAACCACCTCCGCGATATTCATGATCAGCTCATTCTGAACAGTCCCCGCCACTCCCTTGATCTTCAAGGTGGCCCTGGATAGGATCAGGACGTTGTAAAACAGACGGCATGCCAACATGCTCGCCGCCATGGCCCAAACAGCCCAAAGGGGCTGGCTGTTTTTCCCGGAGGCGTATCGACCCACCGGCGTCTTTTTCACAAATGCTAGAATAGAGAGCAGGAGCTCGGCTAACGTCGGAGCGCAGAACCCCAAGGCGAATTTAACGATCTCGTATTCAGGCCAGGCAAACAAAGGGTCCAGCTGGCAGTCCGTTTCTTCCTGGTAATGCTCGACGCCCAGCAGCGCGCTCAGCATCAAGGCGGCACAGAAGCTGCACATCAGGATGAAAGCAACACACATCCCTGGGCTTTGGTGCGCCTTGCTGATCAGAGCGTTGTGGGCCGGGCGCCTGCTGAGGAAAAGGCTCAGAATGATTAAGAGGAGGAGGAACTGAGACGCGAAGTAGCCCAGGTTGAAGAAGAACGAGAGCGATCCACACCCGAGGTAAGACATTTGGAGGTAAGCCGGCCGCACGGCAAGGGTGAGCGAGAGGAGGACGACAAAGAGGTTGCTGACCGTCTGGGAGAAAAACAAGACGTCTAATTTGTCCAGGACATGACTTCGATAATTCTGGATGCAAACGGCCAGGATAACCATGCCGGCTAACAAACCCGGCGGCACAAAGAAACCGATGTAGGCATGCATGAACCTTGAGATGACTTGTTGTGCATATATAATCTCTTCGAAGTCGGTGGAGGAATCTTTGCTCAGGCTCGGGTACTTCATCCAGGTCATGTTATGCGGGAGCATTTTTCAGGGGATCCTCCGCGGGAGCTGAGAGGGAAGAGAAGGAGATGATCTTTAAAGGAGGTTAAGTCACAATAAACCGGGGATGTTTCACGCAAAGCTCTCTACTTTGATAAGTGAAAAATGCCCAATATTTCCAAAGAAGGCCCAGATGAAGGCAGTAGAGCTCAGCGCCCAGATCCGAAAGGGAAAGTTTATTTAGAAATGTATAGGCTATATATGCCAATATTTCTTCGCCTGGTTAACTTTAAGACAGGTGGACTTCAACTCCCAGAATTCCCCAGCCAGCGTCGTGACGCTGGCTGGGGAATTCTGGGAGTTGAAGTCCACCTGTCTTAAAAGTTGAGAAGTGCTGTCTCAGCCTTCTTCTTGCTGCAGGCGATTTGTATAAATTGTATTTCCAGATTCGAAAGGGATGCAAAGGGTTTCACATTGAAATTAAACAGAGTCTCATCAGCAACTCTGGAAGAGTGAAATTTATTCATCCTTTTCGTCTCCTCTCTGTTTCTGGGACCCTCCGACAGGTAGTCCTTGACTTACAACACTTCATTTAGTGACCGTTCGAAGTCACAGCAGAACTGGAAAAAAAAACCTTGACTTTTGACCTCTTCTTCACATTTTATGACCGTTGCAACATCCGCACGGTCAAAATCCAGGTGCTTAGCAACCGACTCAAATTTATGACGGTCCCAAGGTCCCGGGGTCGCGCGATCCCCTTTTGCGACCTTCTGACCAACAAAGTCAAGGGGGAAGCCAGATTCACTTTAACGACCATGGGATTAATGACTGCAGGGATTCACTTAACAACTGGCGCAAAAGGTCATAAAACGGGGCAAAATTCACTTAACTGTCTCGCTTAGCAACATAAATTTGGGGCTTCATTGGTGGGCAAGTCGAGGATTATCTGTGCTACATTGGTGTGATCTTCACATCCCAATGGTGCAGAATGGAGGTGGGATTCAGTCGGTTCCGACTGGTTCTACAGAACCGGTAGCGGAAATTTTGAGTAGTTCGGAGAACTGGCCAATCCCACCTCTGACTGGCCCTGCCCCCATCTATTCTCCGCCTCCAGAGTCCTAGCTGATTGGCTGGGTCTCCTTTGGTTGCCCTGCCAGGAGAACGGAGCTGGAAAGCAGGTTAGTGGGGTGGGGAGGGAATGGGGATTTTGCAGTATCCTTCCCCCTGCCACGCCCACCAAGCCACACCCACAGAACCAGTAGTAACAAAATTCGAATCCCACCACTGGTGCAGATACTTTAAATACATATATTATCCTTCCAGGCCATGTAAAATCTGTGAAAGTTTCCCTGCTGACGTCATTTCAGAACAATAATCAAGAAATAGACAATTTTACAATAAGAGAATTTTACCATCACCTTGAGGTCCTTACAATTTTTAAATACCACCCAGGCCTCATCATAGAGCTATTAATACTTTTCTTTTTAAGGTAATTTAGCTTTTATCTGATAATGCTGTTAGTTGCTAAGGTGTATGTGCGAATGTAAGCCGATAGCAGTTATAAATTCCTAAAATTAAGGGTTTCTTTAGGCAAAAAATAAATAAATAAGTATAATGGCTCAACCATATGCTCCCCTCCTGATTCCGTTGCCCCGAAAAAGCATTGCATTTCCTTTTAAGCAAATAAAAACACGGAAAGGATCGAATCACATTTTTTTCTCCTCCTGCAGCAAATATATATATGTAATATGTCTCATTATATAAGCCCCCCCTCAAAGTGGCAAAGTGGCCGTTATGCAAAAGGTGATCATTCTTCTCCTTCATTAGAAAAAAATGGGTTAGCAATGTTAGTTGTGGTTTGTTTGTTTGTTTCCTTTTTTGTTTGTTAGACAAATATGCCTTGCGCTGCGATAAGAACGAGCATTTTGCATTGAGTGCCATGTGGCGCTTTCCTGAGTACTCAAGAACATATTTTACTCGTCAGTTCTGACTGCTGAAGCTTCCTGCCAGCATTATTTTTTTTTTAAAAAAAACTATTTTGAAAATCTGCCCAGGGAGAGGTCACGTCCGCTGTTGGCGTGCTGCAATACACAGGCTGTTCTATCTGATACAGATTAGCAGAGTTGGAAGGGACCTTGCAGGTCATCTAGTCCAACCCCCTGCCCAAGCAAGAAGCCCTACACCATTTCTGACAGATGGCTGTCTGGTCTCTTCTTGAAAGCTTCCAGGGACGAAGCTCCCACAACTTCCAAAGGCAACTTCTGTTCCATTGGTGTTCCAGGTTGAATCTCTGCTTGCTCAGTTTCTATCCATTATTCCTTGTCTGGCCTTAGAGATGACCCCCTCCTCTCCCTGGGACAGCCCCTCAAGTATTGGAAGATGCTATCATGTTTCCCCTGGTCCTTCTCTTCCCTAGACTAACTAGCCAGGCCCAGTTCTTGTAACCGTTCTTCGTTCTTCGTGTATTTTAGCCTCCAGCCCCCTAATCATCCTGGTTGCTCTCCTCTGCACTCTTCCTAGAGTCTCAACATCTTTTTTATAGTGTGGTGACCAAAACTGGACACAGTAGTCTAGGTGTGGCCTTCCTAAGGCTTTACAGGGTGTTATTAGTACGCCCCTTGATCTTGATTGTATCCCTCTGTTAAATGCAGAATAGGATTGCGTTGGCTTTTTTGGCTGCTGCTGCTGCACACAGCTGGTTCATCTGATAAGGCTCCGAGCATCTTCCCAAAAACCCCAACCCAAGACAATTGCAACATTAAATTAGAAACCTCAAAGGAGAACCTCTGTTCTTTGAGGAACAGGCTGGTTTTTCTCTGCTTTGCACTTTTGATTTTGTTCTGATGCATAAAAAGCAGCTTTTGCGTCGGTCTCCAAATCTCAAGCAGGAACCGGTAGTAAAAAAAATTCTTTTGAAGTTTGTTCCATGTCATGCATTGCAGCCAATCCTCGTCTTATGACCGCAGTTGAGCCCAGAATTTTGGTGGTAAGTCATTGCAAGGGTGTCACCAAAGGAACGGACTCGATTTTACCACCGTTTTTAGGACAGTTGCTAAACGAGTCACCAAGGTCATTAAGCCGATCGTGGGGTCGTAAGTCTGAATCCACCTTATCTAATGTCTGTGGAGATTCCCAGCCACCCAGGTCATGGTTTTCCCAAAGGTGCTTTTTCAAGAGGCAGACCTGGGCTTGTTGGTTTTCCTTGAAGAAGCTTCTTGGACGAGAAGCGAAACTTCTTCAAAGAAAAGCAAGGACGTCCAGTTGCCTCTCGAAAAAGCACTTTGGGGTTAAACGTCTCAGTTTTTCTCGGATTTCTAAGGCGCTTGTTGAATGAGCCCAGAATTAGCAGTCCCACTGGCATCGTTGGTGCTGCAAATGAAGGACGTACAGAATGTTACTGGCCCAAAGAAGCATCTTGGTTACCCTAACATAAATGTTTGCTTCACTACGTATACTTAGAATACAGAATAACGGAGCTGGGAGGGAACTTGGAGGCCTTCTAATCCAAACGAGTTACCTTTAAAATAATTCATATTGGAAATCCAATTATTCTCAAAGTGAGAAACGGTTCACTTTTGATGGATTCACTACCTTAGAATTCGGATTTCATACTCACTCTGGAAGCCATGCATTTTTATTTATTTTTATTTTTTTTGCTTGGAAATACTGGCTGCAAAAGAAAAGTATAAGGCTGGAGAAAATTTTCCGCTTCTCCGCCCTCCCTTGGGCGCCTTGCATTCCTCTGTGGTTCTCTGTGTCTTCTTGAGGCATCACCAGACTGCTGGCTTGGAAAAGGAGACCGTTCAGTAGAGGCTGTGGGTGCAGGAGGCTAATGAAAGGATAGGAATGTGGTGGTGGTGGGGGGAAAGGATTTCTTAATTGAGGATTACTGATTAGGGACGAATTATGAATTTGAATGCATCCTATGGCAGGGACTACCAACCTTGGCAACTTTAAGACTTGTGCACTTCAACTCCCAAATTGTCCAGCCAGCCAGGAGTCACTTAGTAGAGAACACATTTAATAAATAAAAATTTAATAAATAAAATCCTAAGAAAATTGGAATGGAGATGACAGGCACACAAGTGTTTTGTAATTCATCATCCAAGGCCTCCTGCTTCATTGTGCAATTAAGTAGAAACAACTTTTAATCCTGTTTTTGGCAGATCTGGTCTCATAATGTTCGCTTACAAATCTTGAAAAGTTTTTCTCCTTTTTTTTTTTAAAAGACAATAAGTACCTTTTAAAAAAAAAAGCTTCCTTTCTCAGTGTCTTCCTAATCTTTTTCTTTTGCAACTCATGTTCTTTTTCCTTCCTTCTCCATCCTGGAAAGGGCCCTTCTCCGTTTTCTGTCATTTTCTTCCTGTCGATAGAATACTGCATCTTGCTTTGGTCACCCCCGTTATAAAAAAAGAGGCTGAGACTTTGGAAAGAGGGCAGAGAAGAGCAACCAGGATGATGAGGGGACTGGAGGCTAAAACATACGATGAACGGTTGCAGGAACTGGGCCTGGCTAGTCTAGGGAAGAGAAGGACCAGGGGGGACAGGAGAGCAGCCTTGATAGCATTGTTCAAATATCTCAGGGGCTGCCCCAAAGAAGAGGGAGTCAAGCTATTATCCAGAGCATCAGAAGGCAGGACAAGAAGCAACAGAGGGAAACTAATCAAGGAGAGAAGCAACTTAGAACTAAGGAGACATTTCCTGACAGTGAGGACAATTAACCAGTAAAACAGCTTCCCTCCAGAAATTGTGGGTGCTCCATCACTGGAGGTTTTCAAGAAAAGATTGGACTACCATTTGTCTGAAAGCAAGGGGGATGGATTAGGAGACCTCCAAGGCCCCTTCCAACACTCTTATTCTGTTTTTCCGCTAGTCAGACTGTTCTCTGTGACGCCAAATACTGCCTTGCAAATCTCTCCAAAAGGCTGAAATGATTTATTGGTGTTTATCCCAGTGCTGAGATCAGAAGACCTAGTTTTAGAACGGACGACTTGCTAATCACATGACTTGCCTTCGGGACAATCATTTGAGAAAACCAAAGCTATTTTTTTTCTTTTTAATTGGTTCTTTTTCCTGCCTCTCTTTTGCTACAGGAAATAAAAGTTGCGTTCACCCCAACAGCTTTGCACGTAATTATTCTTAATAGTAGATCAGGGGTGTCCAATCTTGGAAACTTTAAGACTTGTGGATTTCCATTCCCAGAATTTCCCATGCTGGTTGGGGAATGCTGGGAGTTGAAGTCCACAATTTGGACACCCCTGTAGTAGATCCTGGATTAATCTTTCCTAGGGGAATTTAGGGCCAGGAGTCACAGAGGCAAAAAAAAAAAAAAAAAAACCTTCCCAGAAATTATTACACTAATAATTTAATTTAGGAAAGGTTATTTTTACAGAAACTAATTTAGAAATGGATAACAAAAGAATGTCAACAATGCTGCATTTGAGACCCTGGGCTGGGTGTGATTCCTGCTTTGTGCCCCAAACATCAACATTTCCCTTTAATAAAAAGTTTTATTTGTCTTTCTCTGTGGCTTCTTCACCCCTCAGGAACTACCTAACTTTCTTTAAGCTTCACAAAATTATTCTAACAGACATAGATTGCAATTCTGTTTTGAACATATTGCAAAAGGAGAAGGATCTAGATATCAAGCGGTTTTCTTGCACGATACTTTGGGGCTTTTATGACATGGATAAATACAGGACCGTAATTAAGATTTGATTTGATTTGATCTGAAACAAAGTCAACAAACTTACCCACGAAGGAAAAAGCTCGGAAGATGCGAGAGGCCGACACTTCCTTTCTGGTGAGATTGAAAGATGTAACGGCTGTTCGAACGGCAAATAATTTCCACTGGGCTGCTTCCTGTAGCTGGTGACGTTTCCAATTACCCAGCTATAAGACTTACAGAAAACCTACAGTTCTTTTAAGAAACAGGAGCTGGCTTCCCATAATTCAAACCATACACGTTGCTTCCATAGCTGGCGAAAAGAGTTCGACCACGTGACCTTAAAGTTGACTTAAGCCGAGGGATATTTTGGTGCTCCAAAACAGAAAAAGTAGTGTTTAGCTATATATTTATGGGCGTCTGAGGCCATCCAGTGGCTTCTGTGTAGGACAAAAAACCCTTTATGTACTGTATATTCTCTACTTTCCAATGTTTGAAATGCAGCCGTGGCTTGTATTGAAGAGCTAACTAAAGAAGGAATGAAATTCCTTGTCTTTGGTTGGCCAAGGGGTATGGAGGACCTAGCTTTGATTAAAACAAGCCCCTTCCTCATCACATTTACCTTACTTTTCAAGTTTTCCAATATCATTGTCACTTGCTGTCCTTTTCTAAATCCTGTCTCTCTCTTGCCACTTTCTGATGAAACTCTTCCAACATTTGAGGGCTGTCACAGAGAAGAGGGGGACAACTTACTCTCCAAAGCCCCTGAAGGCAGGACAAGAAGTAAGGGATGGAGCATTATCAAGGAGAGAAGCAACCTAGAACTAAGGAGGAATTTCCTGAAAGAACAATTAATCCGTGGAATAACTTCCCTCCAGAATCTGTGAATGTCCCAACACTGGAGGTTTTTTAAGAGGAGACTGGGCAGCTATTTGTCTGAAATGGTATAATAGGATCTCCCGTTTGACCTGAGAGTTGGACTAGAAGACCTCCAAGGCCCCTTCCAACCCTAATAAACTATGTTCTATCATAGTTGCCTAGCCTACGAACTAAACTCTGGCAACGCCACTGCCTTTGACCTCTTGGGTGCTTGTCTAACAAACCCTGATCTTCTTCTCCTGCTTCGGAGACTCCTGAGGGCATTCAAAAAGGTAAAGGTAAAAGGTTCCCCTTGCACATACCTGCTAGTCGTTTCCGGATCTAGGGGTTGCTGGTGCTCATCTCCGTTACCAAGCCAAAGAGCCAGTGCTGTCTGAAGACGTCTCTGTGGTCATGTGGCCGGCATGACTAAACGCCGAAGGCGCATGGAGGGACGCTGTTATCTTCCTACCAATGTGGTCCCTATTTTTCGACTTGCATTTTTTTTTACATGCTTTCGAACTGCTAGGTTGGCAGAAGCTGGGACAAGTAACGGGAGCTCACTCCATTATGTGGTGTTAGGGACTCGAACCACTGAACTGCCGACCTTTCTGATCGACAAGCTCAGCGTCTTAGCCACCACGTCCCTCAAAAAAAAAAGTGGTTTATGGACCTTTTTTTTGCAATTCTCTATTCCCTGTCTCTGCTTTCCTTTTTTTCTGCATGGAGGGTAGAACTAGTTTGCATGGACACGCAAGGGAAATTGGCTAAAATCTGCATGTGCCTCGGTGTGGCGCACGACTTCGGATCTCGGTGCAACCTTAAGAGGGCTTGTAACTTCTTCAGGTTTGCCCGGGGAGCCTTTTTCTTTAGTAAAAAGTCTCCCTTATGCCCTGCTTTCCCTCCTCTGTGCTCTCTCCCATAAAAAGTGCCTTGCTCAGCAAATGAGCTTTTCTGCTTGTCTGAGCCACCCTGAGCTAAGCTAGCCAGCTCAGCAAATGCCGCTTAACTTTGGGGACAATGGTAGAATAAAGGCAGCGGAGTGGCCTGGCGTGGCATTCTCCCGTTAACCACAAGGGGGCGCTTTGGGAGAACGAACTAAAGCCTGAACTCTGAAAAGGTTGGTCAAAAATTGGAAGGAAAAAAAAAAAGTCAGTTTTCCTGGAAAGGCGCAATAAACACGGTTTGCAACTTAGCTCTCCCTGCATGAGTTTCCTAGCTGGCCCTGGCCAGAGGGCAAAATCTTCTACCAAGTGCCCTGGAGTTCTGAATGACAGATCCCATCATCCCCAGCTAACATTGTTTTTGATTATGGTGATCAAGCCTCTGGGTCTCTTCTTTTCTTTTCTCCTTTGGGAGCCAAATAGAAGGATTTTTTTTAATTTTTTAAAATAAATAAATACAGTTTGTCTCATTGCACACCTAGGTAGAATCAGGAATTGTGGTTTCGTCAGGCTCCAGTTGATTAAAAATGACCCAGATATCAACCTTGGCTTGATGTTTTGGCTCGTGACGCGAAGTGACTCAGGGGAAAGCTTCCCGGAAATTGAATTCTGACAGGATGCTATTGTGCTCCCTCCCTCCCTCCGTGTGTGTGTGTGTGTGTGTGTGTGTGTGTGAGAGAGAGAGAGAGAGAGAGAGAGAGAGAATATGCGCTTTTGCAGGTGCTCTTCCAGGAATTGAATGCATAACAGGGAGTATTTTTTTTTTTCAGTCTGGGACTCAGGATGTTTATGCTCCATGAATGCTATTCCACATGCAAATCCTGCAATACAGAGACCCAATTTCCAGCTGGAAGCCCAGAGGTTGGTGGCATCTATCAGGATCCAAGTACTATGGCTTCCATGGCTGACCGTTGTATGGACAAATGAACCCTAGGCTACGTTGCTTATCAGGGCTAACCTTTCCCGGCTGCAATTCCTTTTCGAACTCCTTTGAGTGTTTAGTATACCATCCTTATCGTCACCTTTCGCCCCCCCTCCCCCATGCCAGGAGCAGACTGCCATTAGATCTGGCCCTGCCCTGGGTTTTTGTTCTGCTAGAGAGGAATGCAGCAAAACCTCCCGGGAGGAGGTCCGGCTGTCTGACGCAAGCGCACCTGGGCGACACCTACTTGGCCAGGTGCCCGTGGGCTTCAATCTGCCTGATGGGGAGAATTCCCCCTTCCAGTCATCCGGTCTGGTCTATGGAGAATCCCAGTCATTCAAGTCAGGGTTGTCCCAAAGGTGGGTTTTTTTTCCTCCCCAAAAGGCAACAGGATTTTCTTGGTTTTTTTTTCCTTGAAGGGATTTCGCTTCTCCTCCAAGAAGCTTCTTCCGTTCTAGTGGAAGAACCCTGAATTCCTCACCGTTTCTGAACGGAAGAAGCTTCTTGGATGAGAAGTGAAACCTCTTCAAGGAAAAAACAACAACAACAACAAGAAAATCCCATCACCTCTTGAAAAAGGACCTTTGGGTCATTCTTTCTTGCAACCCAAGCTGCCGCCTCATGATGAGGACACCCAAATCCTGCCTCTGATCAGGATAGGTGGTCCTGGACTTACAACAGTTCGTTTAGTGACCGTTCAAAGTTACAACAGTGTGGGGGGGAAAGCTACTTACGATCGTTCTTCACTCTTATGACCATCGCAAGCACCCCTGCGGTCATGGGATCAAAATCCAGACCTTTGGCAATTGACTCATATTTATGACAGTTGCAGTGTCCTCTTTTGCGACCTTTTGACAAGCCTAGTCAATGGGGAAGCCCGGTTCACTTAACAACCGTGTTACCAACTTAATAGCTGCAGTGACTCACTTAACAACGGTGGCAAGACAGGTCGCAAAACAGGGCAAAACTCACTTCACAACTTTCTCGCTTGGACTCAGTTGGGGCCATGAATCAAGGATTTAAATCCAAGAAGACCAAGCAACATGAATCAAGGACTACCAGTATTTAAATCCAAGAAGACCGAGCAACAATTGAAATACAGTAGTTAAGTTGATAGGAATAATGACAAAGACTCCGAAGTGAACCATTGATCCGTTTATTGGTTTGACGTAACTGCCTCCCTGATTAAAAGGAGACCTACAAATCATAAATCGTTTAAAAAAAATACTATTCTGAAATAATACTGTTAATATCAGCACTCCTCCTGTGCTGAACTTCTGTTATGTATGACCAGATATAGTACTTTTCATTGAGCTAGTTTATTCTTCAACTGCAATAAAATCTGAGGAAATAACTTAATAAATTCTTTTAAAAGTTCTTTTTTTTTTTTTTTACATCAGTAGACTGTTCAGCGAGTAGTGGCAAATACTTTTATTTACAAAAATAGCTGGAATCTTTTAGAGGCTTAAGCAGAAATGCATGCTAAAGGTTCATACGAGAACAGATTTCCAAATCTTATCCCCTCAAATTTTCTAACTCCATCCTTCGATCACATTTGCCTTATATTAATGTCTCTTACTGGTTGTTTTAAAAATACTTACTTGTTAGGTTTTTTGGAACGCACTCAAATTCTGGTCTGGAAAATACCTCCTAATTCAGAGTTTACGAAAAGTGAATGCAGTTCTTTGAAAGTGATAGCGTTTGAGATCTAAGAATAAACATTAGTGGTTTTGTGGAACATTGTCCAGAAATCAGCGAAGACATTAGGTTCATACTGGGGGGGAAAAACTCTTCCCTGTAATACTGACTCAGCTTTAGTGGGAAAAGGCACGCCTCTTATTAAGATATTAGCAATGAGTAAGATTTAGGAAGACATATGTAAATGTTTTGAACTGAAGTGGCTTCAGATACAGGATATTAGTAATGTGGAGATGGAATTACATAAGGCACGAGCGTTTGGCTCCTGGGTTGATTGGGTTTTTTTGGTGTGTGTATGTGTGTTTTTTTTTACAAAACATTGAATTGTCTTTTGACCTAGGAATGCTAAGCTTTAGAAAGAGAAAGTGAATTTATATCCAATGTTAATAGCTGGTAAGAAATCCTGCAGAGAATCAAGATCTGAATAATTTAGTCTAGCCTGAAATAAGCCAAAGACATTGCCTGTTGGAAGAGAAAAGACAAACTGGCTTTCTTCGGTCTGCAAATAAATAAGAGGATGCACAAAGTAGGATGGCCCAGAGAAGTAAGGGGCTTTTGAGTGGCAAGATGAATTAATGAAGGCTGCGTCTGTTGGGTTTATGGGAGTTATAGTATAGTTGTATAGTTATAGAGAGGGGCAAGATGGCTTAGTGGTTATAGACGCTGAGCTTGTCAGCTGGAAAGCCAATGGCCCAGGTTCGAGACCCAATGTGCAACCTCTGCCTCACCCTGTGCACCTAGCAGTTTGAAAGCTAGTGTGAGTAGATGAATAGGTACCATTCCAGTGGGAAGTTAACAGCGTTCCGTGTGCCTTTAGCGTCTAGCCATGCTGGCCACGTGACCATGGAAATTGTCTTCGGACAACGCTGGTGTCCTCGGCCAAGAAACGGAGATCAGCATCTAGAGTCAGACCCGAAAACTTTACCTTTGCTTTTTATGGTTATAGTATAGTATCTTGGAGAATGGTTTTCCAGCTCTGTGATAGAACAGTGGTTCTTAAACTGGGGCAGTGACCCCCCAGAAGGACATTTGGGTATTTCCGGGAGTACTTAAACATTTGATGGGAATCTTTTGTGGGTTCATGATATGATCTTGGAGCAAGGGGTAATTGGGTGTGAGAGTTTAAGAAGAACGGTTAAATATAATCCCTCTGAAGGAGTGGGTGTCCACCTTGGCCAGTAAGAAATGGGGACTAGGCTGACTGGGGAATTCTGGGAGTTGAAGTCCCCACATCTTTAAAGATGCTAAAGTTGAAATACACTGCTCTCAAGAGTTGCCAGGCCCTGATTCTAGGACTTATAAATGCCATCCACAATTAATTTGCCAGATATTACCCAATTACATGCATATAAAATAGCACGAGACTTTATAGCACTTTCTTATGTTTGTGGTTAAAGTAAAGTACACAGGTGAGAATGGATGCAACAGACCTTTTCCTTATTATTTTTTTTAAAAGTCCTGCTAGGTGAAGTCCGTGACAAACACCCAGTCCCAACTTAGAGTTGTGGGAATCTCTTTAGCTAGGTTATTGTTTTCCAAGTTAGGAGCTGGACCTAGAGGTCATCTGAGCAACATGATCTAATTATTGACTGCTGCAATAACTTCCAAAAAGTTTCCTTGCGGCCCGGCAAACATACCTGTCTATTGTTTTCTTCCTTACCTGCGGAGAATCTTGGAAACTCCCTCCGGTAAATTAGACTTTGTGGTAACTCCCTGAGCTAAATTAGTGTCTTAACTCCAATAACCTCCTGATTCATCCCTCAAGGCCTCTTGCAGAAGACTCAGCTGTTTGACTACCTCTTTGAGAACCTGGCACTGTGTCCCAGCCAAAACGTCAGCTGGAGCAAATAACAATGGTCATGAATGGCAGCTGGGTAGAAGCAGACCAGCCTGCCAAAAATCCAGAATTCCTGATCCCTGACCACTCCGTGTCATTTAGTCTTTCCCCCCAACTGGGTGACCTTCCATGGAGTTGGGACTCCAACTCTCAGAATCTCTTTCAGCCGAGGAACATAGACAAAATGTTCCAATATTTGAGGGGCTGCCACAAAGAAGGGGGGGTCTTATTCTCCAGAGCACCTGTGGGCAGGACAAGAAGCAACGGAGGGAAACGAAGCAAGAATGACCTAGAACTAAGGAGAAAACTCCCTGACAGTGAGAACAATTAACCAGTGGAACGACTTGCCACCAGAAGTTGTGGCTGCTCCATCACTGGAGGTTTTCAAGAAGAGACTGGACAGCCTTTCGTCTGGAATGGTAGAGGGTCTCCTGCTTGAACAGAGGGGTGGACTAGAAGACCTCCAAGATCCCTTCCAACTCTTTCGTTCTGCTATGCCTAGGAGGCAGCCAGTTAAACTGAAAAGCAGTTGCCCTGTGTTGGAGGCCATCTCACCCCTTTTGCCAGCTCTTATTCTAGGACGTGGTGACCTCTGGAGGATCCCCCAACCTCTTGGACAGCTTTTCTGGTGATCGTGGGGTGGAGCAGATATGTGTGCCTGGGATAACATGGTATAATATGGCTTTTAGTAGCCTAGCCTAGCCTACTTCTTCGTGCTAGCTTGTGGTTAGGTCCAACCAAAGGGACAGAAGAGACATGGCGCTATTGAGTAGGGAGAGAACTAGAATCCAAAGCAGCATAAAAACAAGGGCCAGAATTATAAGAAATCCTTCTTGTTCCCTGTGAATCGCCTCTAAGTTGTGCCTTCACAACCATTGTGTTATCTCTTCCATCCCTTTGGTCCGTCAATATCTCGCAAACATTCTTTGGGTAATAATACTTTGAACATGCTTTTAATTCAGCCACAAAAAGAACATTGTGTGTCCTAAGGAATATTTGTGAGTGATTCAGTAGGTGCCCTTTTGTAATGCAATTGGATTTTTCGTTGGCACTTTAGTCTTGACTTCATCTTAAACTGTCCTTCATTTTACTAGACATAGCAACATCCTACGATTTCTGCAAAATTACATCCTTTTGATTGATTGAAATGCTTTTACAGTGAAAAGTAAAGAAAACGGGGAAAACCCATTTGTTTTGTTCGTTTGTAAATGGAGGGAAACACAGCTGCATTCGAAGAGAAACCTTCAAACCTTCTGAGTTAGAAGTATTTCGCTTAAATCGTAGCTTCCTAGATTAGGAAAAAATTTTAGTATCGTAACTAGGCTGTTACACAATTTGACCAGCGTGATTATTAATGGATATTATCCTAACTGAAAAGGTGCCGCTCGGACCTTGACATAAAACTGCTTTGTAAATTTTAAAATTCATATTATTTTATACGAAAACATAAAAATACCTCTTTTTTGTTTTAAATTCTACAAGATTACAAAGTGCTAGGTGTTCGGTCAAAAAGCCTGCCGCGGGTTTTTGTGGTTTTTTTCTTCTTCACACAAGATTGATAAAACAAAGCTTATCCTGCAGAACCGACTCAGTGCATCGAAACTCGTGGAACCAAGCCACGATTTTAACCCCCAGACAGGATTCCCAACAGTTTCCCCTACAGAGTCTAGGTTGGCCTAGAATGGCGAGGCACCAATGTTTGTGCAGCCTCCAGTCTCAGCTCGGCGCCCCCCCCCCGCCCCCCCCCCCCCAGCGTTCCTCCATACCTACGTGACAATTTGCTGAACCACTGTGCGTTCGTGCGAACATGGCTGATTCCCGCAGTGCAGTTTTTTCAGCAGCCTTTGCAGTTTCCCCGGGAAGTTTTTGCTGAGATACCGGTACAGCAAAGGCAGGACGACGCTGCTGGAGAAAGCCAGGAATTTGGAGAGGCCCTTCGTGAAGTGCAGGGCGCGGCCAGAGCCTTCCTCCACCCCTTTGCCTTGCATGGCGGCCAGCATGCTGACCAGCAGGGTCCCGTAGTAGGGTGTCCAGAGGGTGAACTGGGTGCAAACGGCAGCGATCAGAAGCCGCTGCACAGAGGGGTCAAGCCTTCCAGTGTCTTGGTCCAGCGGCGTGGCCTCCTTGCGTATTCGCAAGATCAGCACAAGCGCGTAGAGCACAGCGACGGCCGGCACGATGTAACCGATGAACACCATAATGGCGTCCGCGGCTTCCTTGTTCTGCATCTTGGAGCACTCGATGATTTTGGTGGAGACGTGGTTGCAGATGTAGAAGAGGAGAGAGGAGAAGCTGGTCAGCATGGCCCCTCCCCAAATGAACCCGCAGACGTGCTTCGTGTTGTACACGCTGGACATGTAAGTCCTCGGCAGAGCCCGCTCGATGTAGTAGTCCAGGCTGAGCAAGGCGATGGAGTACATGATCACCAAGGAGGAGATGTTGAACAGAATCAGCAAGGTGATGTAGACTTCGTTGTTGAAATTCCAGATGGCCCACTTGGTGCTGGTGGGTCCCAGCAGGTACATGGGAGCGATGGCGTTGATGATGAGGCCAGCGATGGCCATGTTGACAAAGTAGACGTCTGGCATGGTCATCGTAGCTTTGTTGCACAGGTTGACCACGACCAGGAGCCCGTTATAACAAAGGCCGACGGGGAAACAGATGACGAGGTAGAGCAAAGAGAAAATGGAAATGACCAGATGGAAATCGTGGCACAGATTCTGGTCCTCGGTGTTTTTGGAACCATTGAGGGCTTCACAGCTCCACATAATGGCGTTCCAGAGACCAGGGGTCCTTCCTGCTGGTTACCAGCTTTTCTACGGGAGAAGAGAAAACAAAGAACGTCAGTACGCTTCTTTTGAGGAGGCCAAATCAAAACACCTTCACCCCCTGAACCACGCCCTGCCGAATTGGACCCGGTCTGAGTTGTATTATGGGGTGACAGAAAGACCAGTTGTGGAATTATTCACAAGACCGGGGGTCTCCAAACCTGGCAACTTTTAAGACTTGTAGACTTCAACTCCCAGAACTGAAGAAGCTTCTTGGATGAGAAGTGAAACGTCTTCAGGGAAAAACCAAGAAAGTCCAGTTGCCTCTTTGAAAAAGCCCCTTTGGGAGAACCCCTAGAGCTGCTGGCTGGGGAATTCTGGGAGCTGAAGTCCACAAGTTGCCAAGTTAGGAGACCTCCCTCCTCAAGACCATGGATTTCATTAGATTCACACTCCATGTCTATGTCTTTAAAGAAAAAGCAGCAGAGACCCTGTGATTCTAAGGGGTTAGTTATTAATACAGCTTAATCATTAGGTACTTTGTGTTACTTTGGTCTCTCACTCTATTTCTAACCCTTGCAAAGGCCGTATTAGTCTAATCCATCTTTGCAAAGTAAAATAAAAAGTAGGTTGTGCTCCTTTCTGAAAACTCTCTGTAAAAACTGAAGTTTTATTTGGGTTGCTAATCGAGGCAGCCTTCCTCCCAAGACCCGGGTCGTCGCCCCCCCCCCCCCCCCCCCCCCGAAATATAGTATGTAAAACCTTAAAGGCAGCTTGTTAATATGGGCACGTAAAACATTTCTGTGTTTCGGTTATTAGTAGTGCAGGATTGAATCAAGAAGTCCTTGTGCTCTTAACTGCTTTCCAGTATTCTGCAGAGATGACCTGCGGTTTTTTTCTATTTTTAGACGCATTTTATCTGCCAGAACATCCACACTATTTCACATGTTTACAAATCCTTCCTACAATTCATCCCTATATGGGGGGAGATTTGGCTTCATCGTATGAGTCAAAACACACACACACACACGCACACGCACACACCGGTCTGGCCATTTTCACGTGGAAGACAAGACCTTGGCTCACTTGTGAAGACACCCCAAAAGAAGAAGTTATTCCTTCCTTCTTCCAAATTTTTGATTGCATCAGTTCGTGGTTCAAGGAGGCTTCCATATACGCATTATTTAGAAATTCCGGCCCCCCCTTAATTGATGGGGGGTCCCCATGAAAAGATACAGTCGTCGTAATAAAAGGGTAACGCCCGAAATGAAAAATACGTTTAAGAACCAGGTTAAAGTACAGAATACAGAATACCGGAGTTGGAAGGGACCTCAGAGGTCTTCTAGTCCAACCCCTTGCTCAAGCAGGAGACCCTACACCACTCCTTAGTTCCAGGTTGCTTCTCTCCTTGATGAGTTTCCATCCGTTGCTTCTTGTCCTGCACTCTGGTGGTCTGGACCGGGGGTCTCCAACCTTGGCCACTTTAAGCCTGGCGGGGAATTCTGGGAGTTGAAGTCCTCCAGCCTTATAAGTGGCCAAGGTTGGAGAGCCCTGGTCTGGACAATAGGTTGATCCCACCTTGTCTTGTTTCCTTCCTCCCTGTAGCCCAGTGGAAATTGTAATCTTGATGATGACCTTGATAGATCTAAACGGAGTCAACGGTTGGAAGTTCAGACAAACTGGAAGGTTTCTCAGCTGCATCTCCGAGAATAGTTCAGCTGAGGTTGCGTTGGTGTGTAGCTGCGACACCTGGGCTAGGCTCAACCCTGCACTGTCCCTGCCACCTAAAGCTCCTTGTTTGTCTTTCATTTTAGCCCCTTCTCTGACATGTCAGGGTTTTTATCCGAATTAAACACGGCAAGTAATTTCTAAGGATTGGCCTTCATCCCCTAAGATGTTTTTCCCTCCCAAAGAGTGCCAAAATTAATGTTTTTATAATTGCTTTCCTCCTAACTTATTGTCAAGGCACGCTTACCGTCATTTCTTTTTATTAAACTGAAGGATTAACATTATGACTTTGAGATAGCATCTCTTCCAAATCTAGACCCGCAGATGCAAATGCACTTCCTTTTGTATTTTTTAAACTCATTAAAATAAAAACGTGATGTTTCAAAGAGGCACTTCAGACTTTTTCCAAAACAAACTGATGGTTAACCAGACCTCTCTGTTTGATTCGACTTCCCTTTGAACCAACTGGAGATAACTCATTTGTAAATCTGGGACCTTCCTAACCCCCCTAGATTATGGCCTGATCTTTTCCAGCCAGACATCCTTCCAATGTTTTGATCCACAACCTGGCCGGTGACCCACTGGCTGGGAATGCTGGGAGTTGTAGTCTAGGAGCACCATTGCTGGAAGTTTTCAAGAAAGGATTGGACAACTGTTTGTCCAGGATGATGTATAAGGTGGGTTGGGCTAGAAGACCTCCAGGTTCCCTTCCTATGATTCTATACTTGTAGATGCTGCTTTAACAAAAAGCATCTTTCAGAGCGGGGCTATTACGGTGGGAGAAAACGGGATAGTAGTCATTGTTGGGGTCATTGCAACTTGGATTCTCCTTGTATTGCTAATTTCTAAGGAGAACTTTCCTGACTGTTAGAACAGTTACTCAGGGGAAGGAGCTTGTCTCCAGGAATTGTGGGTGCTCTTTATCACTGGAGGTTTTGAAGAAGAGATGCCATTTCACGTCTGGCTGGGGAATTCTGGGAGTTGAAGTCCACCAGTCAAGATTGGGCACCCCTGCCTTCAAGCAAGCCATCCCACAAGGTGTAAATCCATACTTTGATGTCGAGGGACCCTGCTGGGAACCTACTTCCTCCTCACCCACCCACCCACCCACCCAAAACCATCACCCAGACATCCTGCCTTTCTACCCCACATCCCCATCCTTCCTCCTGGGTGCAAACTCTCCTTCTTCTGTTTGCTTTGACAATGTTTGGCCAGGGTTGTTTGCTCTGCTCCCCCTCCACAAACATCCATCCGTCCGTCCGTCCGTCCATCCATCCAACCCCCACCTCTCTCTCTTCCCCAGTTCCTACCTTCCGTCCAGTTCTCATGTTCCTTTGTACTGCAGAGTCAAACATGGCTGATAAATAACATTTCAGGTGAAGGAGAGGGGGGGTCTCCCATGGTTGTTGTTCTTGTTGATTTGGATCTCTTTGACCTTACGAACCCGTCCTAGACTTTCCTCCGGCGGGGCGATCCAGCTGGGTGTTTTTTCCGCATGTGAGCTGCACTTGTTTGTCCTCCTAGTAAATTACTCACAAAGTTTCTGCTTCTGTTGGCCCAGCACAGGCTGTGTGTCTCCTCCCAGGCTGTGTTTACAGCCAGTTTCAAGAAATAGGAAACTCTGTGATGTGAAAGGGGAGTGGTGCCCAGACTGCTCTCTTCGGAGGCTTCCCATCGATTGGTAGGAAGGGCAGATATTCCTGGAATAATCCATCTGGGTGTTGGGTTACAGTGGCTGGCGGCCCTCCCACCCACTCTCCTTCTCTTTTTTTGGTGTGTGTGTGTGTGTGTGTGTGTGTGTGTGTGAAACCCGCCAGCCTAGTTTCTGGCATTCCCGTAAAGAAAGCCTGGTTTGCCATCGGAAGATTCCAGGGAGGGTCTTAAAAACCACCCACAAAAGTCTTCCCTGAGGCTCAGTTTTCACGACTGGGGTTTTGGGAAAGAGGAGAAGGAGACGCCAGGCAATCTGTGTGTGTGTGTGTGTTTTTCCTTAGAGGAAGAGAACGCCATCGATCATCGGGTCTGAAAGAGCTGAATTTAAGCATCTCTGATTTTGTTACTGGCAGCCTTTGGAAGAGCAGGGCTGAGTTAGGCTGTGGTTGTTCCGGGGCAGGAAGATATAAAAGGAGAATATCTGTCACTCAGGGTTGAAATGAGGGGTCCTTGGTGCATCTCTTGAGCTTGGTGGTTTCCTTGCAGGTGTTTCATTGCCAAAGTAGGTAACATCATCAGTGCTAGAAAGGGGGGGGGGGTGGGGGGGGGGGGGGAGAAAGAGGGGGGGGGGGGGGGAGGGGGACAGCCATGGGGTCCTTAATGCTCTGAGAAAATTGGGGGTTTTCTTGCAGAGGTTTCTTTACCCAAACTAGGTAACATCGTCAGTGCTAGAAGGGAGAGAGGTTTGTGGACTGGAGGAGGAAGAGGAGGGAGGAAGAAGAGGAGGAGGAGGAGGAGGACGAATATGGGGTCCTTGGTGCTTCTCTGATCTAGGTGGTTTCAGGATCCAACTAGGTAACATCATCAATGCTAGAAGGAAGCAGGATCTGCACTTTCCCTAGTTGGGTCATGAAACGTCTGCAAGAAAACCAGCCATCTCAGAGACCCCCAAGGTTCCCCTTAACTCTCAGCCCCTTGGCCAGCCAAGCTGTGCCATTAAAAGCCAACCGCTTTGGTGGAGGCTTTTTAACAACACGAATTGGCCTGAAAAGTTGCTATCAGATCCCTCCTAAGGCTTGCAATGGAAGGTTAAGTGAGCAAGAGCTGAATACATAAAGTCCACGGGAATTTACTAGCAGAATTTGGATTATGACCTGGCTCTCAACCTCCGTTCACCCAGATCTCCACTTGAGGGGCGACACCAAGAATGAATTTTGTAAAAAAAAAACCTAACCTTTCCAGTTTCAGATCCCAGCTGAAATCTTTGATAGCTCGAACGATGAAGCATGCTCATGCCAGTCCTTGCTGGAAATCTTACAAAGAAAGTTCCTTGTTTACTTCTCAGCCTGGAAATATTTTTGGTGCTACACTCTGCTTGGCTCATGAATCAGAATGTGACACCTGCCACCTGGGGAATAGTCACCCCGAAGTCAAGCAGGGTAATTTTAACCCAGCAAAAAGGTCCCAGATTGGTACAGCAAAGGAAGGCTTGGAATTCCCAAGGGGGAAAAATGGAAAGTCCTTTGCATTCCCCCTTCCCCAGGATTTATTTTTAAGGTTATAATATTCTGTCACTAAAGTGAGCACAAGTCTGCTTGTTGTCGTCCTTGAAAAGTAGGAAGGGTTTAAGTTTGGCAGGGACTAATCCTTCAGTTGCACACACGTCCTGAGTCATCACTATTTGTAACACACAAGTATTTGATCGAGCAGAGATAAAATGTTTTTGGAATTAGTCTAGAAGAAAATCCAGCTTGATCAAGGGTGTGGGTACTCCACAAATAACTTACCAGCCTTTTTCAAGTAATGTCATTTTCGGCTGAACAGGGATAACTTACTTTGGGCCTGCTTTGACCAATGGGGGACTTGCTGTTTGACTGCAGATTGTCAATTCAAAGAATGGAAATATTTTGTGTGTGGCACGAGAGCAGTTTCAATATCTTCAAGTGAACACCAGGTTTTTAAAAGGATGGATAACAAATGTCCTCTCCTCCTTTCTTTTCCTATCTTTTCCTTTTCTTTATCCTTTTTCCTTCCTTCCATCTCCCACCTTTATTATTCTTTTCTTCGCCTCTTTCCTTTCCTTTCTCCTTCTTTCCTTTCCTTTCTCCTTCTTTCCTTTCCTTCTCTTTCCCCTTCCTTCCTTCCTTCCTTCTTTCCTCCCCACCCCCACATGGAACCAAATACAGTTCCACAGCTTCATGCATGGCAAAAGCTTCAAGGGAGTTGGGGAAGATTTGGAGTGGACAGGAAGATTTAATTAACAGCACTAATTTCCTCCTAATTGCTTCTTATTTTGAACATTAGCTGTGGGGCTTGGTTACATTTTTGTACAACGTGTGGTTAGGTCTCAGAAAATCAACTGTCTCCTTGCTTTCTTCACTCTCGGTCCCACTAGATGAGCAAACCTCTAATCCACATCGGCGGATGACAGAGAGCAAAACAGGAATTTTTTTGGATTGGGTTAATGCTTGGATGGGACCTTACCAAGAAATAACTGGGATATAGACTCAACTAAGAAGTCTAAAAAAAAAAAATCACACAAGAAGGCAACTTCTGTTAGCGTTGTTGTTGCCAAGAAATGATTTATTGGACATATTTCATGAGCCAAGCTAGAGAGCACCTCCTTATAATTGGGGGCTGCACCAAGCGTCTGGATGTTTGTGTTAATGCTATCTCTTTTTCTCTCTCGTGCAACTCCTGGCCAGCCGTATATTCTTTGGTTTATTTCCATATATGGCCTTTAGGAAGCATCTTCAAGAGCAGCCCTTAAATCTCTACGAAGATGGATCGTCTGCCTTGACAATTTCCTACGATTCCATCCCGTTCTTAATCGTTAATGGAGCCGAAGCGTAATGTCATTATATTTCAGCATGTGCTGTGTCTGCCTGCCTGTGTTAGTACAGGATCGTGTTTAGCGGGATCCACCTCATGCGCCTCTAAAGGAGTGGAAGATAAATGCCCAGGGTGCTTTTTGATCTCCTTTCTCAGTTGGGAAATTTGAGTTTTCCACAGTTGTGCAAGGGGAATGCTTTCAAGGCTCACCGGAGCCTCCAAGGAGCAGATAATTGCTTTAGGGTGGCTTGCAGGCTGAGGAGAACCGTCTGGAAGCCTCCGCTGTAAAATTGATTGAGTAAAATCCCTTGTCTGGTATCAATACTGAATAAATCTGCATTAAGGATCTTCTGCCTTGACTTTTTTCCAAGTGGGAAAAGAGGGAATGATGAACCTTGAAGGAAAGCCCTAGAAAGGTGGCTAGCAAAGAGGCTGAAACCTCAGACTTAACGACCAGAATTGAGCTGACACCTCTGTTGCTAAGCAAGATGGGTTGTTAAGGGACCTTTTCCCCATTTTATGACCTTTCTTGCCACCGTGGTTAAGGGAGGCACTGAGGTTGTTAAGTGAACCTTGACTTTGCTTGCCAGAAGGTCGCAAAAGGGGATCACATGACCCCAGGACATTGCAACCGTCATAAGTACATGCCAGTTGCCAAGTGTCCAAGTTTTTAATCACGTGACCACGCAGATTCTGCAGCAGTCATAAGTATGGGAAAAAATGGTCATAAGTCACTTTTTTTCAGTGCCTCTGTAGCTTTGAACAAACTAAACGAATGGTTGTAAGTCAAGAGCTACCTCTACTTACTGCCATGTGGAAATTGCCCAAGCCTTCCTTGAACTCAATTGAGGATCTTTATTTGGGAATTGGCTCGGATAATTGCATGGACTTTAGCTGCTAACCTATTTATTTCAGCCACTGCATCTCTAATGTGGGAGAAGCAGAATGGAAAACTCATCGGGGGGAAAATAATGGTTAATTCAGGTAATTTTGAAAGCAACCATTTCTCATGGAACAACCGGCCTCCGGAAGTTGTGAATTCTCCAACACTGGGAGTTTTCAAGAAGAGATTGGATAACCATTTGTCTGAAATGGTATAGGGTTTCCTGCCTAAGCAGGGGGTTGGACTAGAAGACCTCCAAGGTCCCATTCCAGCTCTGTTCTTCTGACATGAAACCATATCTTTTAAGAGAATAAAAACGACCAATCTGCAGGCAAGTGGATCTAATTTTTTCTCTCTCTAACTCTATGATTTAATAGGCTGGCCATAATCTGGGATTTTATATTCCATTTTCTTTGGAGTGGGGAGAAGCCAAGAGATTTTGATAACTTCCAGATCTAAGGTGGCTTCCAATATCCTCTGGCTGCAGAAGGAAGCAGGGTTTGAATTAGGATGCTGCTGCTCCATCGTTTCGGCATTTGCAAGGCAGCTTAGAAGCACTTCATAAAAACAAACTCTCAGATTAAAAAAAGAAAATAATTCCCTGGTACCGTTTTCCTGGGCCCTGAGTTCCGGTGTGTCACGTGAGACCACAAAGGAAAAATAATTACATTAAGCGGAGAGATATCGTTGGATTTGCAGCGCGAGTTTTGCCTGGGGAAAAAATGCTATTAAGGAAGCTGATTTAAGATTACTAAGGATTTACTTGGTGCTCGGATCGCTATATTCCCCGTTTTGGAAAAGCTCACCCATGCCACGGCCTCCTTTATGCATTGTGCATCACATAGCAGTTCTCCTTTCCACCCTTCTGCACGTGCCTGCTTAACTAATAATTAGGGTCCCTGGGGAGGAAGGGGGTTTATTTTGTTTTTAACAGAAAAGTTTGCAAAACGAATCCACCGGACACTCACCTGGCAAGCATCGCCATGCTTCACAGCGATGGGATCCAGCGACTCCTTAGTCTCAGGTGGGAACATTTTTGCTTCTCCGGTTGCAACTCTGCAGTTTAGCCTCAGTTGTGGTGTCGCGTAGCTGTGGAAGGTCAACAACAACAGAGCTTAAGGGACGGGAGGCTGACTCCACCACCTCGGCAGTTCTTCCTGGCACCAAATTTGATATATTCACATGACCTCCCCCTGCACGTAATTCCCAACCTAATCCTTTAAGCTCCGGCCACGTTTTGCAATTGGTCTCTCTACCAAAATCAGGTCTCTTGCGGAGAAATAACTCCCGTGGTTAAGTCAGGAGGGGAAAGGGACATTAATTTAATTGCAGCATCTGATTACGGCTCTAAAGCTGATTGAGCGACAGCGAAACGGGAAGGATGAACATGGGCTGCATGTTCAAAGGACAAGAGACAGTGAGCCTTTCTAGCAGAGTGGAATCCCATCCCGACTTGCTTGTCCCCAAAGTTTGTGAAATGAAGTAGTTCAGTATCGAAGAATGAAAATGAACTATCTTCTTCTTCTTCTCCTTCTTTTTTAGTTGATTGATTACCTGTTTAATTATTGACTGCTATAACTGCCATTGCATAAGAAGGGAGATTACAAAAGAAGAAAAATGAAAGAAAGAGAGAGGAAGGAAGGAAGGAAAAATAGACTATTTTCAAAGGACAGGAACGGTTAATGCTTGTGAGGCAGAGGAATCATATTCTTGCTGATTGGTGACAAAATAAAGCAAGTTTATGAAACACCGCAACTCTACGTCAAATGATGAAAATGGACTTCCTTGAAAAGGCCAGGAGCTTTTAACCCTTCTAGCTGAATTGAAAAATATTCTTGGTTTGCCCCAAAATAATAATAATAAAAAAGATTACAAAATAAAGCAGCTGAATATCAAATGATGAAAAGGAATCTATTTAAAGCACAGGACCTCTTAACTCTTCTAACACTTATTCTTGCTTGCTTAATAAAATAAGTTGATGAAATAAAGCAGCTGAATATCAAATGATGAAAATGGATATAGACAGAGGACAAGGACAGTCAACTCTTCTAGGAGACCTGAATAATATTCTTGTTTATTTGTCACAAAACAGAGCATGTTTATGAAACGATGCAACTTAATACCAAAGTAGGGAAAAAATAGTAACAACCTATCAAACAATAAACAAAACAGTTTTCAAGCTAGCAAAAAAACAACACCCTGCAGTCTGTATATATCATCAATTTGGAGATTTCAACATTGTTTCCATCCCACCTTCATAGATGGGGAGGTGAAAATAGACACTTGTCAATCAATTGACATTAGTTTTGTTTAGCTACATGATAGGAGAGCCTATGAGGATGCTACGATTGTCGTAAGTGTGAAAAACGGTCATAAGACAACTTTTTCAGTGCTGTTTTAATTTTGAACTGTCACTAAACGAACTTTTGTAAGTTGAGGGCCATCTGTATAGTTTAGTTTAGTTTAGTTTATTGTCATTGCACCTCATAGAACGAAATCAAACACCATCTTCAGTGCACATCATGACCATGAAAACAAACACAAACACACATCCTTCACACTCCACACATTGAATTGAAACCCCCGATATTGCATGAATATTGCACTATACAGTAGAATTCAACAGAGTTACTTCCCTGTGATAGAAGCTGGTTTTCGGCCTATTTGTCCTTGTTTTTATTATTATCCTGTACCGTCTGCCAGATGGTAATAGTTTAAAAAAAAAGGGTCCCCAGGATGAGATGGATTTCTAATAAGAATGTTTTGAACTTTCTTAAGGCAGCGGGAGCTATAAATCTCTTCCAAAGAGGGGAGAGGGCAACCCATGATCCTCTGGGCAATGACATTAACCCTCTGGAGTGCTTTCCTATCTGCCATGGTGCAATTGGCAAACCCTACAGGGGTGCAGTGAGTTAAGATGCTCTCTCTGGTGCAGCGGTAGGAGGTCACCAGCAGTTTTCCACCCAGTTACTGTTTCCTGGGAAGCCTCAGGTAGTATAATCTCTGCTGGGCCCTTTTGACCAGGGCTGCAATGTGAGCCCCCCAGGTCAGGTCCTCTTTTAGGGTAACACCCAGAAACTTAAAACTGGCCACTTGCTCCACTCGGTTTCCATTGATCAGCAAGGGCTGGATGTCTGATCTGTTCCTTCTATAGCCCACTATATATATATACACGATTTCTTTTTGGTTACACTGAATTTGCATCGGAGGAGTTTAAATGTTGGCACCCATTCTATCCTATAGGCAACATCGGCGGTGTGGCAACACCTCAGCTTCAGTTTATTCACGTAAACCTTAATTATAATCAGATAAGCTTTTAGGCATCTTAATATATATAGGAATATGTCTCTCTCCCTGTGCACCCTCTTACTGCACTTCAAAATTACAGACAGATTTTAAACATTGCCCAACAAGGCCATGGCACCATATTTTGAAATCGGCACATTAGCGTAGAAGATGCCAACAGAAGATGTTCTTTTACCAGGTTGATGCCACCATGAATCAATTAGGCTTTGAAATGTATTAAGGTAGTATTATTAGTCTCCGTCTAAGCTGATCTCCTTTATGCAGATGGTTTTCAAATGCAGCTGAAGGCATGGATATCTTTCCTGGGGCAGGCAATTTTCTATTTTCCAAAGCCCCTGAAGGCGGCAGGACAAGAAGCAATGGATGGAAACTAACCCAGGAGAGAAGCAACCTAGAATTAAGGAGGAATTTCCTGACAGGACAATTAACCAGTGGAACAGCTTACCACTAGCACCACTGTGGTTGGTTCATCACTGGAGGTTCTTAAGAAGAGATTGGACACCATTTGTCTAAAATGATATAGGATCTCCTTGAGCAGGGGGTTGGACTAGAAGACCTCCAAGGTTCCTTCCAACTCTTTATTATTCTGTATTCTAGTCTGTATGCTGTGAGCTAGCAACATCACACATTTGACGTGGTTTTTACATGCTTTCAATGGTAAAGTTTTGCTCTGTTTTTAAAAAAAATAAACCAGCATAGAAAAATAGGATTGTTTACCTTTATAATTTTTAGTAGAAAACATTCAGATTATTTTGGAGGATTTCTTGCATGAATAATTTGTGTAAATTTCCCTCCAAAATTACACGTAGTGGAAGTTTAAATTCCTTTATGTCTCTGTAAACTCCTACAGAACACCCTACAGCAACGTTTCTCAACTTTTGGCAATTTTATGGATGTACGGATTTCAACTCCCAGCAGGGCTGGGGAATTCTGGGAGTTGAAGTCTGCACATCATAAACTTGTCGAAGTTGAGAAACACTGCTCTATGGCAGTGGCCCCCAACCTTTTTTGAACCAGGGACCGGTTTCACAATTATTTATTCTTCCACGGACCGGTACCCGAGTAACGTGAGACTCCACTGCCATCGGGACGGCTCTTCGTTCGAAGCCGCCCCCCCTCCCTTCGACGAAACTAAGGCGCGAGCACCCAAACGCCGCTTTCCAACTGAAAACCCGGAAGCAACCGAAAACCCGGAAGCGCCGTTGAAACAAGATGGCGGCGCCCAAGCTTTGCGGCCCAGTAAAAAATGATCCACGGACCGGTACCGGTCCGGGGACCGGTGGTTGGGGACCCCTGCTGTATGGGATTTGCAGCTCTCTTGCAACAGAGAAACGTTATTATAAAAGGAAGACATTTGCAATAGAGTGTCTTTTAATAATAAAAATTAAAATAGCCTTTTAATGGTGCCGCTCCATTGCTTTCTCCCCACGACAGCAGGCGCCTTTAAAGGATTTCAGTCGTTTTTCTCACCTGCTGTGTAGAGTCCTGGAAGACCACGAGATGCCTCCAACCCAAGGAACATGTGCAAATCACATGATTTTTGCAAGCCAGCAAAGGATTAAGGCCAAGACGGGATCTCCCGGGTGTAGAAAACCGAGGATGGAGTTTGCAGGCTCAGTTTCACCTTGTCCTCCCCTTGCAACCGCTTAATGGTTATTTTATTTTATTACACCCCTGATGAAATGCTGCCACTGCATGAGATTAAAACCCCCCAAGACGTGTCCACTCAGCAAGATGGTTTGATTCCAGGGATCAGCAGAGACGTTGGCGTTGCAGGTTGGGAAGAGCTAAAGAAAACTTGTGAATCAGGAAATCCTGGTTGGGAGCTTCGCTTCATCTAGAAACTCCTGGCAAGCGCTTAGTTGGCTCTCTCTCTGTGCTAAATCCACACAGGGTGTAAAGAAATAGTACAAGCGGTCCTTGACTTACGGCCACAGTGGAGCCCAACGTTTCCGTTGCTGTTCTGACCAAACCCTTTTCCAATAAGACAAACAATAACCAAAGGGAACACAAACCTTTTAATGAGTCTTACGAATCCCCAGTTAAAAGGCTGCTGCAAACTAATTAATTAGCACAAACCTCGCCAAAACTGTACGAGACTGCCAAGAATCACAGATAAGAAATATTTCACAACACAAGAGTCTTCAAATACCAACTTAAGATTCTGTAATGTCCACGAGGCTGAGTTTCAAAACGTCTTTGCTTCCTGCAAAGAACATTCGCTTCACAGCTGCCTTTTATCTTCTTGAAGGAGGGGCCATTACCTTGCAGTCTTACTCCTGAGTCGCCCATGCTGTTGCAGCTGCTCTTTCCTGTGAGCAACCCTGCGTGCACATGCACTTGGCACAGGCTCCTCGGGAACCTCCTCATCGCTGCTGCCAGCCCCCACAATTTCTGAAGGCAGCAGTCCACTCCCTAATGGTCCTGCCCCCTCAAATGAGTCCTCGCTCTCCTCAGCTGTGCACACCTGCTGGTGGCTAACCACAACAGTTGCTAAGCCAGACAGCTATGAAGTGAATTTTGCCTCACTTTGGCGGTCCTTCCTTGCCGCCGTTGTTAAGCGAATCCTTGCAGTGGTTCAGTTAGTAACATAGTCATTAAGTGAATCCAGCTTCCCTCTCGACGTTGATTGTCGCAAAAAGGGGATTGCGTGACCCTACCTGGGACGCTGCAACCGTCATAAAGACGAGTCAGTTGCCGAGCATCCGAATTTAGATCGTGGGACCATGGAGAGATGCTACAATGGTCTTAAGTGTGAAAAAAATGACACTGCCTTGTCACTT